CGATCTGTGTAGTACCATTGTGTCGATCTTGATACGAAGGTTTGGGAAGACGTCAGAGTTCAAAGCTGTCTCGCTTTGTTCTTCATGAGGGGCCTTGAAACACAGATTGGCGGGGGCCAACCGCGGCGCAGCTCAGCGCGGCATCACGTGAGAGCGCGTAGATGGAGGACACAGGCAGGATTTGGACGCTGTCACTCCATCAAGATGTATGGATATCCTGGCTTAAGATGGAGGGACGAAACGCTGTCCTATAAGAACAAAACTATCGATACGTCAATACGTCATGTTCAAGGATTTGTGACAGCTCAGCGGCAAGATCCAGGAACGAGAGTAAGGCATAAAGTGACTGTTCCTAGAAGCCGAATGCTACCTTGGAACATGCACTGAAAATGGATGTCGAAAGAATCATCTAGCCGACCACGGGGCGTACGCTACCATTGACCGAGGAGACGAGTAACTGTAAACCACTCCTTGAGAGCCGGTCTACTTAATGGAGTTTCTCTTGGAGTATTGAAACTGGCCATTGGATTCCCAATCGTCCTGACATTTGCAAATCGTTGCATTTCCAGCTTCATGTGAATACAGGCCGTGCGTGAATACTGTACTAATGCATGAGCGCACTGTCCATCATGACATGAGCCTCAAATTCCCATCAGGCAAGCATCGAAGCGAGGTCAATTCAATTACACATTCAAATCTCACGATACAAGAACATATCTCTATCGGGCCTTCGCTTGTCGTCTTTTTATTACCAACTCCAACCCCAAGGGCAACCCCTCTTCTTCATTACCGACTCCAAGCGGCGCCAAAAAAAAAAAAAAACAGCATCCACCGCCGGGATTGCAAACTCCGGCTGGTCTTTCGTTCTCCGCATCCCACCATCGAGACGAGACTCCACTAGCCGCAGAGCCTCGCGACAATCTCGGCCTTCTCTGAAAACAGGAGCACAGCCTAGAAACAAGATATTCTCAGTCTTCACCACAATGGCCGCCGCTCCGTCGCCGACCCTGACGCCGTCACCCCGGCCCGGCGCACCAATGCCAATGCCCTCAGATCTAACATTCCCCCAGGACACGAACCCACGCCTGTCCATCGCGACGCCAGTGCGGCTCATGCTGGGAACAATCTCGTCCGCAGTCGTGGGCTTCTCGCTCGGTGCGACGCAGGGCGGACAGATGGCGCAGCTGCGGTTCCGGGCGGAGCATGCGCACAAGATGCCCGACACGACGACAGGGTGGTACTTCTACCACAAGAGCAAGAATTACCACGCCATGCAGGGCGGCATACGAGAGGGCTTCCGCATGGGTCTCAAGACGGGTTTCTGGAGCTTCCTGGCCTTGTCGCTTGAGAGCACGGTCGATCGATATCGCGGGGCGAGCGACATGTTTTCTACAACAATAGCTACGCTTACAGTCGCCGGCGCGTTTTCTCTTTGGCGTAAGTGGTCAATTCTTTTCTTCTCTCTCTTTAGGTTATCTCTTTAGACCTCGGCTTGACTAAGGGAAACGGTATTGCGCAAAAACCCCATATGGGGAATGTATGGCGTTTTGGGAGCTTTGATGATGGAAAGCGACGGGTAGATATTGCAAGCATTGCATGATGTGGAGCAGGGGTTTTTCTTTTACATTACATTTACTTGACATTGCTTTGCAGGCGGCAGAAAGAGATGAGCTAACAAGCGCCGATATTCGGCGTGTGCATCTAGATCGCCTGTCACTCACAACCGCCGCCCGGACCGCGCGATACGGGTTGTTGTTTGGTCTTGCGTACGGTGGGATTCAAGATGTGCTTGGCTTAGCCCGAGGCAGACCGATCGGGTATGTCGAGTTCTTGCGAGGTCGGAGGTCAAATGTAAGGCAAGAAGATGATGCTCGTCCAGCATTGTGATGCAATTGGGTTCTTCAATGTACAATATACAAAATGTAGATATATCACGACTTGGTCAATGGTTCATAACTTATCGCACTGACCAGAGACCGGCATAGGGAATAAACTTCCATTGGCGTAAGATCAACCCAGAGATAAAAAATATGCTAGTGTCGTTTGTTATCGGGGCCCTCCGAGTTTAGGACTCTCTAGGTAAACGCCTCTCCCGTAGACCAGCCCAGGGCCAGCGGCTTTGGTCGGTCATTTATGGAGACATCATCGATAAGCAAATGCTGCAGAAGGCTTCTAGCGAGATCGAACATTTTTCTCTCTCTCGGTCCCAGGCCATTGAGATACGGTAGCAGAGCCCCATTCGTCATCCAGCACCCAGAGAATGGATTGGATGGATTGGATGTCGGCATATCTTATCCATATCGCCTTATCTACATAAAGTACCGAACGGCAAACGACACATCATCGTCAGCCCCCTTGCACATCATTGACCAACAATGGAAGTTGGCTGTGAAGGTTAGACACATCGTCATCAAAACAAGTCACAAGACGTCTCAGGTCTCAGCACAAGCCAACCGAAGCCAACACTGTCAATCTCAAAACAGTTAAGAGAATGCTGGTGATGCATCTCCAAGGTTTCCCCACAATGCCCTGTGCTTGCTAGCTTTGCCAGTGTCACCAATTACATAACACGTATTTACTGGGATCGCGGCCTGTTGCGGCAATCACTCAAACCAAACCAAACCAAAACCAATCCCCAGCTTCTCACTACCTAATCTCCCCAATTATCGTGGGCTTGCACCCCCCCACGCCCCTCAACGGCTACTTTCGGCCATCATGGTGATGCTCAAGCTAAAATGGGCCACGTGACGGCTGATAAGCTCCGTACAGCTGGGTCCCTTTTCTTTTTTCTCCTTCGCCTGCAGTCCATTTTGATAGTCACGGGCCGGTCTGGCTCGGCCTCTGCGGAGGACCGGGGGGTCCCCTTGGTATAGCGTAAACATGACCATGAATGACTAGCTCGACTGGAGCAAGCTGGAGATCAATGGCGAAGATTTTGTTCTCTTTCTGCTGTGGAATGGGGGAAGGCTAGACAAACAGGGCAAGGGAGATATGGATATGGATTATCGGGCTGGAGATAGCGCCACCTCCCTCACACGCCCCAGCCCAGGCACAGACCAGAGTCACCGCAGTCAACCGACACTGGCACTGATAGTCACTGCCCTCTGAGATGGATATAATAAGCTCTCTGCCACCCGTTTGCCCATTCCACAACCTCAACTACATAGAACCTAGCTTGACTTATCTTGCATCATCGCTCCGTAAACCTAACACCAACATCAACATCAACACAATCACCATCTGCATCTGGATCCCTCCATACTGATCCAAGCATCTCCACCTAGGACCTTCAGCTCAACACCACACACACATCTCATATAATGAGCTCGGCCCTTCGGCGAGGGACTGCCCAGCCCCTTCGCTGGGCGACTGCATCCAACGCCATCGCCATCAACACACTCCGACCATGCCTCACCATCACAAAGACCAACATGGTCGCCCGCCGTCACATCCACTCCTCTGAGCGACGCACAAACACCATCGTCGAGCAGCAGCAGATCCCCGATCCTCTTCCTCCCATCGCTCCCAGCAAAGCGCCTCTCTCCGTTCTTCCTCTCATCATGATTCTCCGATCTCTCGCCACCATGACCGTCTCCTCCTCGCCTCTGCTCCTACCTCCCTCCCTGCACGTCATGGGTATTCTGGCCAACACCACCAATCCTCTGCTCAACCCCGACAAGAACCCTCTTCTGCGATATTTCCTCAAGAAGACCTTTTACGCTCAGTTCTGCGCAGGCGAGAAGTCACCCGAGATCAAGAAGACTATCGATGGACTCAAGAACATTGGTTTCACTGGTGTTATTCTGAACTACGCCAAGGAGGTTGTCCTCACCAAGGATGAGGGCGAGGGCCTGAAGAACGGTGCCATGGAGACCGACGAGTGCATTCAGAACGAGATTCTTCCTTGGGCCCGAGGCACCCTCGAGACTGTCCGACTTGCTGAGCCTGGTGACTTTGTCGCCCTCAAGTTTACTGGCGCCGGAAGCATCGCTCTCTACCAGCTCAAGGACCGTCTTCCTCCCAGCCCCGCCATGTACAAGGCGATCGACTCCATCTGCCAGCTTGCCCACGAGCGAGGTGTCCGCCTCCTCTTCGACGCCGAGCAGGACATGCTCCAAGACGGCATTGACGACTGGACTCTCGAGTTCACCCGCAAGTACAACAAAGGACTTGGCGAGGCTGTTATCTTTGGTACCTACCAAGCCTACAAGAAGAAGTGCCCCGAGGTTCTCTCCAACCACCTGAAGCATGCTCAAGTCGAGAACTTTGCTCTCGGTGTCAAGCTTGTCCGTGGCGCTTATCTCAACTCCGACCCTCGCGAGCTCTTCCACGACACCAAGGAGGAGACCGACGCCTGCTTCGACTCCCTCGCTGCCAGCGTCCTCACCCGCGAGTGGAACATTGACGTCAAGGGTTCAGGCGAGTATCCCGCCGCCAGCCTTGTCGTCGCCTCTCACAACGCCGAGTCCGTGCGCCGAAGCCGTGCCATCATGGAGGCCGGCCGAGCCAAGTCCGACATTGCTTTTGCTCAGCTCCAGGGCATGGCTGACGAGGTCAGCTGCGAGCTTGTCGAGGCTGGCCAGTCTGACAAGACCAAGATTCTGCCCGCCTACAAGTACCTCGTCTGGGGAACCACTGGCGAGTGCATGAAGTACCTCTTGCGACGCGCACACGAGAACAAGGATGCCGTCCAGCGAACCAGGGGCAGCCGGGATGCTCTCTGGGCTGAGCTTGTCCGACGCTGCAAGAGCGCCGTTGGCTTGGCTTAAAGAAGTAAAAAGAACAAAAACTAAAAAAAGGGAAAAGGGAAGAGAAAAGAACTTGATATCAATGTCTTTATGTTTCTTTTGTTTTGTATCATGGGTAGCGATCAGGAGTCCAGGGCGTCTAGCATCTCAATTTCCGAGATAGATCAAGCATAGATGAAGAAATGACTTACGTTTTAGTCTTTAATGATGATTATTTGATTGACTGTGAAGCTTTTGACTTGGTATTGTGCTTCAGACACCCCTTAGAGCCATTGCGCCGATGACGAGTGACTCCATCTCTTTCTGTTTGACCTTTTCATCTTTGATATCGTCCAACCACTTGAGTCCGTTCAACTTGTAGTACTTGCGCACCTTTGGTACGTCAGTGGTGGTGGAGATTTGGTCATCTGTGATGGATACAGCCTCTCCCTCAACATTGGACTTGAGGTGCTCCCAGATCTGGTCATGCGTCAAGGGCTCAGCACCATCTTCTCCAGGGAATGTGACCTTGACAACGATGAGGTCTTTAGTAGAAGGAGAGATACCGTATCGACGATAGGCATCAGCGATCTGAGCATGAACTGTCAGCCTCTAGCGAAGACATGTCGGAGCAAGGGGTGACATTACGTTATTAGAAGAACTCATGGCACAGACAATCTCGGAGTGGACGTTTGGAGTCCTGAGAGCGTCATTCACAGCCGTCGACGTAGCCTTGAAGACAGCGGATAATAATTGAAGCCGCGACACAACCTGGTGATGATGCTCCGTATTAATGGGAAATGCCCTATACCCAAGTCGGGTACTCCGCGGCGGAACTCACCACTGAGGCATCGATGAAGGCGTACTCGAACTGGGGGTTCCGAGCAAGCAGCTGCTGGTGCAAAAAGGCAGCATTCTGTACGTCACGGAACAGGGCAACGTAGACCTTGTGCGAGTTTGGCAGGTGTTCGAGAGAGACTATTTCGAGAGCCATTGTTGTTTTGCCTTGATCTGCTGACCTGGGCCTGGAAGCCGATAGAGCCGTTGTAGTTGGCTTGGCAGTGAGCTCTTGGCAGTTGAATTTGGGGAGGCAACACAAAAGTTCGCTTAAGAGAATCTGCTGATTTTCGTAACTTAATTTTCTCTTAGGAAGAATAGTGCGTAACGTTGTGATGGTGGTTTGAGCAGTTTCGATCTTGGGTTTAGTTTAGTGTGGAGGGGTAAAAAAGAGTGAGATCTAGCGATGGGCTGTGCAATTGGCAGCCCGCGGACAGCGGGGTACGTCAAGTCGATGGAAGTCGAGGGTCGTCACATGTTTGCTATACTGTGTTCGTACTGTATATCCAGTCTGATGCGAGCTCTCGGCGTCTTTGACACTACGATAACTCAATTTTGATGCTGTAACACGTCACGAAGTGAGGAGAAGCCGACCTCCATATACCACATACAGAGGGGTCATGTTTGTGACCATTCATCAATGTCTATGGCTAAACGTTTTCCACGTTATTCAGTAACAAAGTCAAGGCTCAATCGCCTCATCCGTTTCACCCACGTTGTTCAAATGATCGTAGCCATCTCCCACCGTTGAGTTCTCGTAATATCTCCGATACAAGGCCGGCGCCACCATCATCAAGGTTGACAGACATATGCCGTCCGTAGCGGGAACGGGATCATCAATATCTTGGCTGCCCAACCTGAGAGGCTGACTGACAGTGAAGGCTGAAAGCATTTAACCTGATCAGCAAGGCACCGACATAACCAGAAAGTCAATCAAAAGAACCACTAAGACGAACAGGACTGGTCTGGCTTCGTCTTGGCTCTTCGGTACCGGCAGTAGGGTTGCATTTCCATCAATGGTTTCATTCGTCTACCTTAGGTTGCATGCAAATCATAATGATACGAGTTTCCCAAGAGCTGACTTTGCCCAGACTCGGTTTCCTCTAGGCTCCGCTCATCAGCTCGTTTTCCTTTGACACTTCGCCCTCTGTGACGAATCGTCATGGTCGAATTGCTTACGGTACCGCCGAGGTCGACCTTGTCTCTTTCAGCCACAGCATCATTGCGCTTGTACGGCATCTTCTCCCAAGAAATCTCGTGGCTTGCCCAGAAAAAGACCACGGTCTAGACGGCCACGGTGGAGTCGTCTCCCCTTGCAGCGCCTCGTTGGAAACTCTGGCCTGGCCTGGCTGGCCCTGTGAGTGTGTAGTACGGAGTAGATCCGATGTCATACTCTGGGCTACGGAGAATTCATCCAACACTCACGTTGTCGTGGCTGCCCTCTCCCAATCTACCGGTATTCTTCTAGAAGGACTCTCCGTTGCTCAAACACTGACGATATCTCGTCTCCGGGTGAGTTATCTTCCATGTTGGATAGAGAGAACCTGTCTGTGCTTTTCCTTAGTGAGATACGGGCCTTCCGTGCAAAGAGAGGTTGACGATGGGAATAATTCTGTTGAACGCCAACTCCGGGACAGATCTGTTAGTACTGTAAGGTTGGTAAGGTTGGTAAGGTTGGTGTAGGTATCTATTTTAACTCGCCAAGCTAAGATGTGAACTAAGGCTGGATGGATGGTTACAACCTCAAGACATCCACCAGATCTCTCTGCTTATAAGACCTCGACCTTCACCAGCCTTATCCCTGCTTGATCCATCATACAATAACTGTGCATACTTTACCATATACATACAATTGCCTTAATTGTTCGATCTTCCATATACACAGAAGAACAGGAGATTTTCTACAGCCACTTAGAGTCTAGACCATTTCTTGCGCAGATCACAAGCAAATCATCTCATCTGTCCCCTCCCTCCCTCTCATCAGTCTTCACGTCACAATTCACATACGCCCACTGGGGTTCGTCGAGGCCTACACCTGCGCCTCCACCCAGTGTCGAGTCCCCCCATACCCGGAAGGCCGCTAATGCACAGCGCATTCCCCGCTAGGCCCATCCCCTGTACAGTGTCATTCTCAGTGCCGGCAGCACCAGCCCCAGCAAGCCCAAGCCCAAGCTCGAGGCCTCGTTCCCAGACCACTATGATGGAGGCCATATCCCAGCGCAACCTCAATTCCTCCATCGCCAACTTTTCAACTCCCACGTCGTTGTCGTTGACGTCGCAGCCAGGCCCAGGTCCCCTCTACTGGCCCTTCGACGCCCGTTCTTACCCTGCCCTCGCCTGGGGTCCTGATACATTTGCCTACAGCTGCAACCCTGCTTTCGCTGCTGTAAAGGCCCCTGCGACTGTGACTTCAACAAAACCCACTGGGCGCCGCCCGCGCCAGCCTGCCGCGATATCTCGTTGCACGGCCAGGACAAAGGCCAGCACCGCCTCTTGCACAAGCGCCAGCAACAAGAGCGCTTCGTCTTCCGCTGCGTCTTCCGCGAGATCTTCACCTGCTTCGTCGAGGGGCATCTCCCCGCGCATCAAGTCCAAGATGCCAGGACGACCTCCCAAGCGGGCTGCTAGCAATGGCGAAGATGATGGCATGATTCAAGCTCCCGGCAAAGTCAAGCTTCCCAGGCTAGAACGTGGCCCAGACGACTTCTCCAGCGTAGTCAAGAACCGACTACAGTCTTATACACGCACTGGTCAAGCTTGCGACAGATGCAAGGTATGCCATGTCCTAAATCTCGGGCCATGCTCTCACAACATGCTAACCGCGCGAAAATTACAGGTTCGAAAGATCCGATGCGATGCACTCCCTGAGGGCTGCTCCCACTGCACCAGCCAAAACCTTGAATGCTATGTCACAGATCGCGTGACAGGGCGCACAGAGCGAAGAGGATACATGCAGGAGTTGGAGAGGGAAAAGAGCGACATGCTCTCCCACATTCGGGATCTTGAGAAGCTCCTCGACAACAAGGGCGTCGAAGTCAAGCCCTGGGAGTGGTCACCTTATGCACAGTGCCCCTCCGACTCAAACTTTGATGATATGGGCAACCCAATTCCTGACCCCAAGACTGGCGAAACATGGTCTCAAGTTGGCAGCGCATTGTTCAAGGACTCTGGCTCAGCCCCCAGCTTGTCTCCCAGCTTCCCTCGCACATTAGAGTCCCGCGCTCATGAGAATCATCTTGGTGTTGGAATGGACAGTGCTCCTCTCAGTTCAATCGGGGGTACGCGACTGTCAATTCTAGGGATGACAGTCGACCTCGCGTCCTTTGAGCCACCAGATGCGGAGGAGCCTCCAGTCGATGGCAAGGTGGCGCCGTCGTACAACAAGTCCCCGCAATCTTTCCTCCAATCCATTATGAGAGTCAATCCTCCGATGGAGGCTGAGATGCCTTCTCGCCAAGAGGCCTTCACCTGGGCCGAATGGTACTTCATGACCTTCTCCGCTTTCCTTCCAGTCCTCCACAAGCCTTCTTTCATGCAATTGGTAAGTGTTGTCTCACCATATTCTAAGCTTAATCGCTAACAGCCATACAGTTGACCCGCATGTACGATGAACCTAATTTTGAGCCTTCAGTGGCGGAGCTTGTTACAGTGCACATGGTTTTCGCCATCATCTGCTTCCAGTATGGCACAAGAAACTGGCAGCAGGTTGACCAGCGCGCTCAAATGAATGAGCGATCCAACAGTCACTACCATTTCGCCCTCAGCAAGTTCTTTGAGCTGACATGCACCCGAGATCTGGCTTCGGTCCAGGCCATGGCCATGGTCGTCAAGCATACCAGAGCCTTCCCCAAGCCCGGTGTCGTTTCAATCGTCGCCAACCTTGCTCTTCAACGCGCTCTCGAATTGAATCTGCACCGAGAGTCAAGAAAGCCTGGCGAGCCCAACAATCTTCAACATGAGCTTCGCAAGAGAGCTTTCTGGGTCATCATGACTGTCTACATCGCTGTTACTGGACGTCGTGGCCGGCCGATGCCTATCACCGTTGAGGAATTTGACGTCGGCTTTCCCGAGCCCATCGCTGATGAGCTCCTCTCGGATGAAGGCGTTGACACATCCCGCGATATTCCTTGTCCTTACTGGCCAGGTATCGTGAGCTTCAAGATCATTCCCATCTACATGGAAATGTACTCCAACATTTACAGTGTTCGACGGGATGCGCGAAACTATGTCAGCATCGTCAGGGCGCTAGAGGCTCAGATCAAGAAGTGGGAGGACGAGCTCCCTGGCCACATGGTGATTGACCATGCTGAGCAGACCGAGCAAACCCGTCTGGCAGCTGTCTACGCCAAGACATGGGCGCTTGAGTTCCGTCTTTGCCTGCGACACCCTTCGGTAGCCATGACCAGCGACAAGGCCATGATGGCTGAGAACATGGCCATCTGCGAGGATGTCTCGCGCCAAATGCTTCACTGTCAAATGGAGATCCAGAAGTGCAAGTGCCTTGATACGACATGGTACCAGACTTCGATGTACACCGCTGGCACCTTTACCATGCTGGCTGCCATGTGGGAGAGACGTTTCGAAACGACTCCAGAGGCCATTGCCACGTTGCGGGAGGAGATGAACGGTTGGATCGGCATTCTTGAGGAAGTCGGCTCTCTTCTCGGTAAGTTCCAGCCTCTAGTTCGCAAATCAGTCAGCCCTAACAATACGACAGGCTCGGATTCTAGCATTGCTACTGAGATTGGAAACATCATTGACCGCACGATTGCGTGGATTGACCATGATATGCGTAACAAGGAGACAAAGAGTGCTCAGCCTTCAGCCACACCGGAGGTCAAACAGGAGCAAGCCTACCCATCTTCTCAGGTCCAGTCCGCGCCCACCAGTGGAGGGGCTCAGACTGAAGTCCCATCTACCAAGAGCTACTTTCCCGAGTCCGACCTGAATGGTCAGACTCCTTACCCAACACTCGCCTACAATGATCACCCACAAAACAACATGGGAGCTCCAGCTTACGACACTGGGGCCATGTTCTACAACACATCAGCACAAGCTGCAATCGCAACTACCACGTCGGCACTCCCGTCGTCTGTGGCGCAAGTGAATCCAATGCTTGCATTCTCACAGCCTCCCCATGTCGCGCCTCAGCCCGACATGATGTGGCAGAGCCGCGGAAATACTTGGCATGACTGGACATCAGCCATCGCTGATACGCAAGATCGCTTCAGCGCATCGACACTCTTGACGCTCGGGGGAAGTACACGAGACGCCTCGACAGGCGCGGGCGTCCCGGGCGTCACATCCAGCCCTTCGGCAAATGACATCAACAGCATTCAGCAGGGAGGCCAGTGGCCGCTGATAATTTTTGACCAGGTGGCGCCAAATGGATCTTGATTTTGATGTGGAGCATTCACTGGGGCGTTCTGTAACTGGGGGGGTTTTGCAATGGGTAAGAATCGTGATGATTCAAAAAAGGCGCTTCAGCAAAAAGGATTGATGAGTTATGTATTAATGGGGATCGGATGGTATAAAAAATGCATTCTGGCATTGGAAGATGAGATTTGACGATGCTGGTTTGGCTTCTGCTATATAAATATTTGCTTGATCTTATAGACGTACATAATCAATGTATAATCACTACACACATCACACTTCACCAAGTGCAATACTTCCACACGTGATCTTTCACTTTCAAGATGGAACTCTGAAAAAGTTAACCTCGTGATGGCAAAGTCTAATATGCCCCGTCATTGATACTTGGTGTTGAGGCACCCGCTCTTTTTAACCGGAGCTTCTCCGACGAAGCTACCCACTCTTTTTCGAGTCGCGTTCAGTTCTAAGCTCCACGCCCAAGATATTGCGATTCGACCATTATCAGGAACCTCTGTGCGCTCGAACTGATCGCGCATTATCTATATCGACTTGTACTACATATCCGACATCAACAGCAAGATGGGCAAGAAGCGGCGCAGTCACGCTGACATCGAGGAGGTCCTCAATCGACCATGGTGCTACTACTGTACGAATCCTGCGGCTTGCGCTCTGATCACTCCATGCTAACATTCTTATCACAGGCGAGCGTGATTTCGAAGATCTCAAGCTTCTCATCTCTCACCAGAAGGCAAAGCACTTCAAATGCGACCGCTGTGGTCGTCGCCTCAACACAGCAGGAGGTACGTTGACAGTCGTCTAACTCCACGAAAGCCGCGCTGACAGCACAGGTCTCTCGGTGCACATGAACCAAGTCCACAAGGAGAACCTCACACAAGTCGAGAACGCGCTTCCGAGCAGACAAGGTCTTGAGGTGGAGATTTTTGGCATGGAGGGTATCCCCCAGGACATGCTCGATCAGCACCGTAACCGCATCCTACAGAACTTCCAGCAGGCGCAGAAGGATAGACAGATCGCGACGGGAAACCCGCTGCCGGGACAGGGACATGCGCAAAAGAAGATCAAGACTGAGTCGCCGGAGGAGCTGAAGCAGAGATTGGCTGCGTTTCGAAAGAGGAAGCAGGAGATTGCTGCCAATGGAGGTGTTGATCCCGCTGCGGCTGCGAACACCGAGACGCAAGCGCAAGCTCCTTTCGTGAGTATATCTTTTCTACGGTTCGTTTGGGATATGCTAATATCTGTAGAACGGCTCGTACCAGACCCCTCCCCAAGTATCCTTCGACCAACAACAAGGCTACCCCGTACAACCCCCCGTCCCAGCCCAGCCCTACACCTTCTCCGCCAACAACCTCCCCGCACGCCCATCATCAGGCGCGCTCCCCGCGGCAGCTGGTCTACCCCAGCGACCGACACAAGGCGGATCTTGGAGCGGTGGTGCCGGCGACGATATTGATCAGATGATCCGTATGGCCGAGGCGGGTATCAAGCCAGCAGCGACGAAGGCGGAGGAAGAGAGTGGCGACAAGAAGAAGAAGGAGAAGAAGGCGAGGATGTTCTACGATGATGCGGAGGTTAGTCCTGAGGAGAGGATGTCGATGCTGCCGCGGTATGCGTTTGTGCCGGAGACTGTGAGTTAGAGGGGATGGATGTTGTCTCTATTTCCTGTGAATTGGGGTATTTTGTTGCATGGTAGGCGTTAGGTTGTAAACTAAATGGTAAATTGATGGTGATTTTTACTGGGAGATCTGTTGAACTACTGATGCTGTGATATTGGTGTTTGGCGATATCGTGGGGTGATCAGACTTCGCTTTCGATCTCTGTGTCATATGATGTTGTTCTGTTTCGTTTTGACCCGCGGTACTTATGTGAACCCTGTTTGTTCTTAGATGTTCATATTGTGATGGCCACATGGATGGACCTTGCAAGTGGAGGCTGCAACACCATGATACTAGAACTCGCAATGTTGCTTCACAACAGTTGGAATGGGGGAGATGGTAATGAATACATCTCCAAATGCACAAATGTAAAAAAAAAACCTCTAATCACATTGACTATACAGAATCGCAATCCAGATAACCTTGCATTATAGGCTACTGAACAAAGAACTCGTTATGATACAGGGTAAGGCAAAGCAAGGACTGGCCACTATTACCAAGGTCTTCTAGCATCTCGAGCTTTGGAGTCAACAACAATAAAGCCACAAATGAGCCATCAACACCTGGCAAATATCTCCATAACATGACTCAAATCCCATTGTTTAATAGCTTCTCCAGCCTCACCTCCAGGGGCCAGAAAACACCCGCATGAATGCCACTTAGAGAACCCCTGATAAAAACGGAGCTAAAGCGTCACCACAGCAACACGTCCGAAAAAGGTCGAAAAACAAACCAGACGTCACCTACAGCCGTGCTCGACAGCTCTGAATTGATTTCTCTACAACTACCGCCCGGCTCGTAGTCTACTACTGCTACTAACTAACGACAACAGGTACACAGAGCTATTTGCCTTTGTCTTTTTATTTTTTCGTTTCTTGTTCGAGTTCATTTTCGAACATTGTTTCTATGATCATCTGCTCTACATCGAGCGTGCCTTTCTTTTTAAGCTTTGTTTACTCTTAACGGCTTCACTGTCGATTGATACTGCGGTGGAAGAGCTTGGGACTGCACCAACGTCACGGATCGAGTGAATAAGGACACCATGGCTATCATGGGCGCTTCAGCTGCTGCTGGGCAGAACTCCATTACTGTTGCAGGTGTGACGTGCGCTCGTCGAGTGCCGTGCAGGAGCTGACCGTTAATACAGTTCGAGTTCGACCTTTTACGATTCGAGAGGCTGCGCAACTGTAAGTAACACGCCAAAATTTGTGGGTTACCTTTTGCTAACGGCGTGAAAGACAAAAGAACGACGACGGAACCCTTTTCCTTGGCGATGGCTCTCTCGCCGCTGCGCCTACGCCAAAGCTGCACCAACGCGGCATTCGAAACGTTATTAAGGTTGTCGATGATCGTTGTTTGTACGCGCACCGTCCCCGCTACAACAAACGCAAACGCTGACCCAAGACAGAGTCTTTGATCCTCCTGAGGACAGCCCCGTACAGAAGTTCTCCCGCTCGGTCCTACCCTCATCGAAAAAGGTCAAAGACCAAGTTTTTGCTTTCGACCGCGTCTTCGACGAAAACACAACACAGTCCGATGTCTACGAAGGCACTACTCGAACCCTCCTCGACAGCGTGCTTGATGGCTACAATGCGACAGTCTTCGCCTACGGCGCTACCGGTTGCGGAAAGACACATACTATTACTGGTACATCACAGCATCCCGGTATTATCTTCATGACCATGCAGGAACTGTTCGAGAAGATTGAGGAGCGCAGCCAAGACAAGGCGACCGAGCTGAGTCTGAGCTACCTTGAGATTTACAACGAGACAATACGTGATTTATTAGTTCCTGGTGGGAGCAAGGCTGGATTGATGCTCAGGGAGGACAGCAACCAGGCTGTTACTGTGTCTGGATTGACGAGTCATCACCCCAAGGATGTCCAGGAGGTTATGGATATAATTGTCCAAGGAAACGAATACCGCACAGTTTCGCCTACCGAGGCCAACGCTACTTCTTCCCGATCACACGCCGTTCTTCAGATCAACATCGCTCAAAAGGACCGATCAGCTGGTGCCAGCGAACCTCACACCATGGCCACCCTTAGCATTATCGATCTTGCTGGTTCCGAACGAGCATCCGTCACCAAGAACCGCGGTGAGCGTCTCACTGAAGGTGCCAACATCAACAAATCCCTCCTCGCCCTTGGAAGCTGCATCAACGCCCTCTGCGACCGTCGACAAAAGCAGCACGTTCCCTACCGAAACAGCAAGCTTACCCGACTGCTCAAGTTCTCCCTCGGCGGCAACTGCAAGACTGTCATGATTGTCTGTGTCTCACCATCGAGCGCCCATTTCGACGAGACACAGAACACCCTTCGATATGCCAACCGGGCCAAGAATATCCAGACCAAGGTGACGCGCAACGTCTTCAACGTCAACCGCCACGTCAAGGACTTCTTGGTTAAGATCGACGAACAGATGGCTTTGATCAACGAGCTCAAGGCACAGCAGAAGGACGCCGAGGCTATGTTTTTTGCCAAGTTCCGAAAGCAATGCGACAAGCGGGATGCCATGGCTCGCGAAGGAATTCAGCGATTGCGCATCGCCTACGAGAACTCTGCTCCTGAGCGTCAAGAGCGTATCACCAACATGAAGCGTCTCAAGGCTTTTGAGCGCCGCATTGGTATGCTGTCCGGATGGATTGCGGCCTTCGACACGGTCTGCGATGAACGAGGTGACGAAGATGCGATGCCAGAGAACCTCGTCGCCATCCGAAAGACGGCACAGGGCATCCTCGTCGAGTTGGAGAACAGCCGACATCATATCCACCAGAAGCTGGAGAAGTCTGCATGGGACCGGGCTATCGACACAGCGCTGTCGCACAGCTTGCAGCAACTCCAAGGTACCGAGGGTGCCGATAACGGAGAAGCCGACAACTTGACACGTGAAGCTGAGCTGATCAAGGCCAACTTCAACCGCGAGGCTTACCGGGAAGTCCTTGAGCAGGACAAGGCTGGCGATGCTGCCATGATCCAGATGCTGCTCACTGCGCAGTTCGACATTCTCGCATCACTTTCCGATACGCTCGGCATGGATGAGGAAGATGCCGTCGCTCATGCGAAGGAGATGATTAACCGTCTCCTCCAAACCGGCTTCACAGCTGCCGGTCAGGTCGTCAAGCCTGATGGCTCCATGCCCGTCGTCGAAGTCTTCTCGCCCAGCAAGCGAGGCACACCCAAGCGCAAGAAGGCTATTGCTATGCACATCAAGCCTGTTTCGGCTCCTAATTTTATGCCCGCGCATAGCGACCACGCTCCTGTCAGCCCCATGAAGGGATCCCCACGAAGACGTAAGGTGTTGGGAGCCTCCAAGAAGGGCGTCAGCTTCACGCCAGTGAAGGCTAAGAAGAAGGGTGGAGTCCGATGGAGGGATGATGAGACGGAGGAGGGCACGTTGGAGGACTTTTCGAAGACTCCTCAAAAGTACAATTCTTCCCCTGCAATTCCCTCGCCTGAGAAGCCAATCGTCGCACCTATCATGCCTTCATACCTCGAGCCCGAGACATCGACTGTCGAAGAGTCGAGCCCCAGTCTCGAGATCCCCGAGGCTAGCAGCCTGGGTGCGAAGCCTAGCAGGTTCCAGGCTGGTTTCCTGTCCAAGGGACCTAGACACTCCCTTGCTGATGGATCACCCAAAGCACCTACCATGACCCTCAAGCTCGAAGCTTCACCTGATATTCAACGAACACCGCCCCTGCGATCTCTGGATGTCACTAAGAGTGGCAATTTCTCACCATCGCCATCGGGACTCGGTATTCCTAGAGCGATTAGACGACTTCCCACGATACATGATGAGAACAACCCTCCCGGATCTGAATCTGACTCCGAGACGAGTAGTATCGATGCTCGAAAGCTTCAGACCGCCCTCCGAACCGCCATGAAGGAGAAGGCTCGTAGAGCGAGCATCATGGCTGGTACAACAGCATCCAGCACCAAGCGAGTATCGTCAATGGGATCGCTACCCGAGCGAACGGGATCCAGGCCTAGTCTGCCTGCGGCCCTCGCCAGCAGCACCAACGGTATCTCTCGACTCCGCCGAGGTAGTGCTGAGAGGAGACGAAGTCCCCCGATGGCGTGCTCCCCAAACGACTTCAAGATAGACATGGCTCTGACACCTGGTCAAGCTAGACGCATGAACATGAACACCCCAGTCACTCGAATGGAAGGTCCTGGGTCAAGCCCACAGGGTGGCATGGCGGGCAGTGCGCCGCGACGAATCACCATTGGTACGGGAGGCGGAGCTGCTCATCGCCGACAGGACAGCAGAGGCTATACCTTGCGATGAGCGAGCAATTGATATGAGGAGGGTGAAACGTATGTGTGCAGATTGAGATTGAGATTGCCTTGATGGCCTTGGATGGGTGCGTGCTTGATTGTTTATGAGCCCGGAGTTACGGCTACGGCGTTTGGAGCATTGCATGATCTATGTAGATTGGTATGATATGGCATTCTTAGTGTATCAACACAACTTGAACATTGCTCTTGAGTCATCGCGTGAAGCTATCGCCGAAAGTCTTGCTTCAGCAGCCCCCAGTGATGCAATTGGTGTATTGGCAATGGGCTGGCTGCTCACAAGCGATTAAGTGCAAGCCATAGCGCCACACGGGATGTGGGGTTGGGCTTTTAGTGGTTGAATGGGCTGTTAACGCCGAAATGTGGCGACGCTAACAATCGGCGATAGTTGGGAGATGGGCAATCGGTGATAGATAGAATGATGGTGTTGAGGACTTTGGGTCGGAGATAATGTCATCGAAGGAATTGAAGGGGATGTTTGAGGCTAAAAATGTATATAAAGGCATTGGGTTTTCTTCGTTTGAGGATGGATTCAACAACAATCATCACTTGTCTTACAAACTTCACTACAAGCCCTTCACACTTACACTCAAGCCACTTACACAAACAATCTCACAACATCAAAATGTCTTCCCCAGTCTGGTTCATCACAGCCGCGTCCTCAGGCTTCGGCCATGATATCGCTCTTCACGCCCTCAACCTCGGGCACACCGTCATCGCCACAGCACGCAGCACATCACGCGTCCAAGACCTCGCCGACGCAGGTGCCCACACGCTCGCATTCGACGTGACATCTCCCCTCTCGGACCTTGAAGCCATCGCCAAAGAAGTATTTTCCAAGCACGGCCGTGTCGACTATCTCATCAACGCAGCGGGATACATCCTCGACGGCGCCGTAGAGGAAGTTTCGCAGCAGGAGCTGTATGATAGCTTCAACACCAATGTCTTTGGGATCTTCAACACCATCAAGGCTTTCCTACCGGGAATGAGAGAGCAGAGTATCGGTCAAAATGGAAAGCGCGGTACGATTGCGACCTTTGGAAGTATCGCTTCATGGAGAGGTGGCGCGACATACTCTGTCTACTGTATGGTGAAGACCTGCGTGTCCTCCCTCGCCGAGTCCCTCCGCTACGAGCTGGAGCCCTTCAACATTGTCGCTACGGTTGTTGAACCAGGTTACTTTCGTACCAGCTTCTTGAACCCTGGTGTGAGGGCCGTTACGAAGAAGCGTCTGGATGTTTATGAAGATGAGAACACGCCTACGGGCAAGACGAGAAAGGCGCTGGAGAAGACGGACAACAATCAGCCAGGTGATGTCAAGAAGGGTACCAAGGTTATCGTTGAGATTCTGACAGGGACGGGGGTTGGAAAGGGGAGGGATGTTCCGGTTCGGATTGTGCTGGGGAGTGATGCGGATGTTTATGTTAGGAGCAAGTGTGAGGAGACGCTGAAGTTGCTGAATGAGTGGAAGGATGTTACTGTTAGTACTGATCACGAGAAGTGAGGACGATGACGTGGGATCTTGGGTAAACTTGGCTTAACTTAGGATAAGTTTAGTGATCTTTAGAGTAGATCTACTCATACTTAGGCCCTAAGTTTAGGATTGTGAGCTTTCTTGCTCCGTGGGCAATTGTATCGAAACCCCTTAATTGAACCTGCTATTTTCCTTGGCCCAACTCTCCAGCTCAGGTGTCCCGAAATGGAAAATCTTCATCGTATTTCTCGCTTGATCCTCAAGGAAAGTCTCCCCCTCGTCTTCAGGTGAGAACACATACTGCACTGCTGTTCGGTCCCCGCCCTTGTTAGGTCCTCGGATTCGGACAACACAAGCCTCAGTGGTAAGGTCTGTAGGTGACCTTTGCTCATAGTATGCACTAGGTCTATTGGCGATTGTTCCGATGATGAGGATGGCGTCATTATACTTCTTGAGCTCATTGGGAAACCTTCTTTTTGTGCGGGAATGCCAAACGAGCTCCCGCCAATTCGAATTCGGCCAGAAAGCGCATTGTATATCATCGGGGTCCATGGATGTGATTGCGCTATCTTGGACTGCAATCTGCACTATAAGCGCGGGTGGCCCTCGTCGTTTTATCCACGCAGCTTGTTTCCTGGCCAGGCTGTGGTCGGGAGTGAAGCAGTACATGATCTTGGTTCTGCTAAAGTCGGTAGGAGATAGAAGGGACCCGATTCCGTCGATAGAGCCCTGATGATCAAAGAGGCCGTTGATTCGTGCTTGATCTACCGCTTTGTAGAGCATGGTATATCCTGGAATGCTTGATGGCCGCGCGAGTGTGTCTATCTCTCTTGACGCTAATCCACTACGTTCGGTGTTAGTATGTTGCATTTCGCCTAAAGGGGGACAGGAGGTTTCAGACTCTAGTCTAACGTAGTCAAAGAAGTGGATGGTATCATCATAATTTAGGGTAGTTTAGGATAAACTCGCCTAAGCTTCGACTTTTATTACCTTGGTCTTTGGGGCCGGGTAGAAGTCCTCTGTAGCCCAAGGGCTTTCTCACGCTCAGCAGAAGCTCGCTGTATCTCCTCGAGCCCCCGGTAACGAATTTCCATGGTATTCCGAAGCCAGCCAATGCAAGTGCCGGTTAACCGCATGTCCTTGAAACGAGGGTCCATGATACTCTGCTGGAGCTCAGTTGCGATACCGCACTGCTCCATGTAGCGGAACCAGGCCGAGTTGTCGTCCTCCCAGATATCATCTGAACAGGGATTCCCAGTATGACGCTCCATCCAGTCAAGGAACGAGACCTCAAGAGTGTTCGAACGGTCAGGGTCAGTCTCGCGAATGATGAAGCCCCGTGGCCAGTTAACCCAGCCGCTCCAGATCTCGGTGGCTTTGTCGCTGTTAAACCCGACATACTCAATAGTAGCTTTGGAGATGAGCATCTCCGGGATAGTCGCAAAAGCATCCGGGCGCGATCCGAAATTGACGTCGAGAGGAATGTGCCTGTTCTCTACATCGCTTGTGCGATTGAGTCGGCGCTTGTGTATTTGGATAGAGCCATTAGGCGGGTTGGGAAGATTGACGAGGCCAAGGTTGATCAACTGGGCTGCGTCTCGAGGTGAGAGGATCTCCCCGAAGGAGCTACTACTGTGGGTCATGGTCTGATTCGGTAGGAAGGGCTGACAGTATTGAGGGCGGCTGAGAGTGTAGAAAGGAAGGAAAGAAGCTGGGAGGTGATGTGATGCCGGAGAAAGCTTGGGAGGTCGAAGGTGGTGATGCAGTGGTCCTTATATATGAAAAGTAAAGTGGACCACTTAAGTGTCTTCGTTGGGCCAAAATCTAAGTGAAGTTACCTATTATTTAACTTTAGTGTACTGAAGAGACTTTGCCTCATGAGCCCTCGACCCCTCTTAGCTATGGCCATTGGTCATTCAACATTTCGATGTATCATTCATTCCTATTTCATGCTGGCCAAAGGCTAACGTATAATGAAAGGGCGACGATGAGATAATTCTCAGAAGTGTTACTCGCAGTTGAGACCTGTGGCCGAGGGTTTATGACTCCTTTGTCCTCGTCATATCTTGGTCTCCGAGACGTACGTACTCCTAATTGTTGGCGTCTAAGTTATGTGTGGAAATCATGATTCTGAGCCACAGATACCAGCATCCAAAGATTACCCTTGTCACGGGACTACAATAACATGCAAGGCAAAAGTCTGATAAATACTTGCCTCAACACCATAAACGTTATTAGCACGCCCTGTTACACGTCTTCGTCAGATATTCACGACCCATTGACGCAGTGCTATTTTGTGGCATCATCCGCTGTAGGTAGGCCGGACGCTGCCCATACTTTTGCAATCTAGTCTACTCTGTATGATGTAGTATTGGTTGGTATATTCGGCGTCATGATATACCTTTAGCATTGGAAAACGTCGAGCTTGAACATCTCATGTTTCTCAGAAGAACCATGAGAACTGGGGGTATGTCAGGGTTAATCATTTTAGAGCTTTGCACTTAATAACACCGAGATACTACGCCCATTGCCCTTTATCTCCCATTAATGGTCTTGATGCTTATCACTACGATCTTTAAACTCACCAGGGTGTACTGACGTGGAGTCCAGACGCTTGGTCGGATGCTTCTGGAGGGTCCTTTCCGCTTTGCGAGATCTCGACTGATCAGAATGAAGATGAGAAATTGGGGAGATAGTTGCACTACTACTGGGTTCTGAGTGTGATTTAAAAAAGAATAAAGATCACTATCTGCTCTGTACCGCCTATTCAGACTTTGACATGAGCGTTCTGCGTTAAAGGCTTTCCTCGCTTTCCTCTTCAACAGCCTTCAAAATGATGGCGATATTGGGCAAGATTGCAAGTGGAACGACCACAAATACATATGTACGGTCTCTCACCACTACAGTTTTCTTTGATTAGATGGTTTCGGTAAGCGTCTTTTCGCCCATTAGAATATCCACATTGACAGACATAAAAGGCACGGGAATGTTTGCTGTCTAGATGCCGCTTCAAATCCCTTTCGTACTTGAATGGTTTGATGCAGCATTTTATGCAACGGAAAGACCCTCGCTTGGGATAGATCGTGGGTTTGTGATGACTGTTCAAGTGCAGAATACTCGTGTTCTCGCGGACTTGAGTTATGTCTTGTAGCCTGGAACTTTCCACACGAAGGGTACAAGGAGAAGAAAGAAGAAGAAGAAGAAGAAGAAGAAGAAAGAAAAAGAAAAAGAAAAAGAAAAAGAAAAAGAAAAAGAAAAAGAAAAAGAAAAAGAAAAAGAAAAAGAAGGAGAATGAGATGAAGAGCAAAAGGAAATAGATGGAGGGCTATCGTCGAGCCTGGCTGGGTGCAGAGAGGTGGGATCGCTCGGTAGTGAGCATGGCGACAGTTCTGAATGTTGCCTCTGTGGAGGAGGCTCATATGTCGCTTCATCGCGGGATTTTTGATGTGAAAAGAATAAATTGAGCTGTAGTAGAAAAGAATCGTCCGGAGACTGCGGACTGGCTACTTCTAATGGCTCATCGCAAGGTGGTTGTGAGGTACTGTATGATTCCCGAAGGAGATGGGATTGAATGTCATGCAAAGATGAAATGCCGCTCAGGTCATGGGGATCCTCTCCTTGCGGTAAAGCATGGCAAGGTGATGAGTCGTTGTGAGGTTCCCGAGGGAGGTTGACGAATAGACCAGGTTCCGAGAAAAGACGAGGATTCAACAATATCTTATCAACTTCAATACTGGCAAATAAATCTTGTGCATGTTGAGATCTGTCATATAAACTGGATTTGTAATTCAAACTGGATCAAATTTGAAGTAAGGCAAAGCTATGACGACCACGAGGCTCGACGCTTCAGTTGCGGGAGGATTTGAATTGTTGGGATTTGCTTTCAAATAGAATGCACTCTCCTTCCTCAGAATAGAGGTCGGAGTATGGTAGTACCGTAGAAGGTGGGTGATTGTCTGAGGATCACAATTGCTTTCGCGGCGGCGAGGAGGGGGGTTCTTATGCTGAATTAAGGATCCAACTTGTAGTACACCACCAGCGACATATAGCGATTCCCTGATTTGTTAGTTACACATCTAAGGTCCGTCTTACCGGCTGTCTTGAAAGACCGTGCATTACCATGGCCAAGACCTGAGTATTTCTCTGCAGATCCAATCAGATAAATGGCCCTCATGCAGCTAGAGATAGACCATTATGTGTCTAAAAGAGCATTGTGATATAAGATTAGGCAACATTGTGCTCTTATGGGGGTTTCTTGTTTGTGCCACTCAGCATATAATAGGCTAACAGCCAGTTCCACTTCAATCTGTTATGACGCGAATCAGTTAAATCTCAGACAGTAAGCTTATAGAAGCGATGGAGGTGAGATAGTTAGCCTTTCTTAGGGTTCAAGCTGAACTTCCTAGCAATATCAACAAACGGCCACTGGCACAACACACCATGCACTACAGCTGCCTGACGAAGACCCTGGTAATCCAGTCGTTAACCTGGACCTGACCGGCGAAAACATTGAGCTTCCCGTGAAGATCGGGGAACTGATAAGAAGAAAAAGGCATGCCGACGTTTATTCAGTCTACCGGGATAATTCCAGCACCAGAGACATGACAACAGAAGCGCGGGCTTTCATTATCGACGGAGTCTCCGGAAAATTAAAACGGCATCGGAAACGATGCATACAAAGGCTAGGGCCCCGAACATTGTTGAATGTGTCGTGCCGTGGGGCAGAAGTTATAGTATATACAGTCAACTGCAATGACTGGCTTGTCACCGCCGAGGAAGAAGACAAGGATTCAAATGAAACACGCCCAAGAGTACTAGGTATGTCTGAGGGCAAGTGAAACATTAATCGACAAAAGAAACACTAACTTTGAAAAAGTTCCGATGGGAAAGACAAGTTCTAAACGAGAGGCAGCACGGATACGACAGCGGGAACGACGCCGAGAGAAAGCGGATCAAAAACGTCCCTCAGATGACGGGCTCATCACAGATGATACATCACTGAGCCAAGATGTCGCAGCTCCCTTCAGAGCCGCTATACTGTCGTAAATATCCTTTGACAGAAAAGGCCACGAACGCCCAGTCAAGGTATTATACGTTCCTGGAAGCTGCAGAAGGTCATCCAAGCTCGTGAATTTGTACTCCTTGCTCTTCGTCAATGCATCACCGCCCTCTAGATTTGGAGGACGCCACCAGAGTCTCACTGAAGATAAGCAGTCACGGCACGAAATACTCCAGCATTTCAAAGATTTAGAAACTCAATTTTCCAGAATGAGCTATCGGCAGCTTTTCACGGTGGTTCACTCTGTTCTCTCGACATTCTCCATCTGACTTACGGTCTGTTCCAAGCAGTAATCATCAGTTTGATCTCCTTCAGCGTATTCAAATAACCCTACCTATACTTATTGATAACTACCAAAACAGGACACAAGGACGGGTGTCTAATGAGTATCTGGAAGCTCTACTTTTGAATTGATACTCATATACCTAGGCTGTGTCGGAAAAGCATTACCTTTCGATATGGCTGAAATCGTTTGAGCATTTAGTTATGATTATCAATCTTCAAATAAAAAAAGACGAGAACTTTCATTTATGCAATAAAATCGTGTACTTTTAGCTAAAAGCATTATTTGCAGTTGAGACTTGTGGCTGAGAGCTTGAATCAGCAGACAGAACTTAGTGTATTTTGCTCTCCCTCCTTATCGTTTCTAAGCCCATATAAAAGATCCCTAAAATTCCCATTCCAATACAAATTCCCACCCAGATAACTATCATTTCTCCTTATCACAATCTAGATTTTGAAAACAAAAGAACAAGATGGAGGCTCATGTTGAATACCCTCTGTTCTGGCTCCGATAGGGCTCCAGTTAACGATAGGGATGACTGCCGCCTATAAGGTTAAGCTTTAGGCTGCGAACATAGATAATGAATAATAACCCGGTTTTTTATCTTCAAATAATGTATAAGCTTCTACCTATAAGCCTTTATGATGACCAATGAGCACGATTTAAGACGGGTCCTCTTTCGGTAAAAGATGTAATAGAAAAGCTGCTGAACGCCGCAGTCAAAACCAAAAGTATGGAGAAACCAATGAAAGAAACGCCGTAATAAGAAAAAAGCCCAAACAAAGAAAAGAAATACAGGATCATCAAGCGAGTTCGCAAGGACTGACGGAGCATCTGAGCGACGTTAATGGATAACTCAAAACTTAGGGACTTGGTGACAAAGAACTCAAGCGCTCAAGTATCTGACTGTACCAAAGGACTATCCGCATTAGTGGGGCAGCCGTGAAGATACAGAAAGCTACGCAAAGCTTCTCCTTAAAGCTGCGCTGGCGTCATTGCGTCCTATACACCACAACGTTTATGTTTCACATCGTATTGAAGGAGCCACGGAACTCAGAACCTCTCATTCGCCGTTGTTGGGTATTTTTGTGGTCTTCCTCTCCTCTTCTTACCACACTTGTCAACGTGGTGTTTGTGCAACTTGAGCTGATCAGATGCATGACCACAGGGGCAGCTATAACGGCAGTGACCAGTACAGCTGTTACTCTCGATGTGTTTGCAATGCTTATATTTTCTTCCATCTTGCCTGCCGCAGCGACAAACGTAAACGGAACCAAGATGAAACTCAGTCAGGTGTCGCTGCAAAGACCTGCTTTCTTTGAAAGTCTTATTGCAGCGTTCCCTGCCGCAACGTAATGGACTTGAAGCCGCGTGAGACGATATAATATGAGAACTGTTGTCTGTGAGACGAGTGAAGAAAGAATCACGATAGTAGTGCTTACCAAAGAGATTCCACGTCTTCAAAAGCCCGTCCACAAAAGTCGCAGATTAGCTGCGCGTCTTTGGAGGCAGGACTGGACGTGGATGATTGAGATAATCTCTTCTCACATCTGATAGAGGATGGCGAGTGGGACGTAGGAGCATTGCTACTCAGAGAGGTGTTGCATAAGGGAGGGGAGAGGGCTGGCTGATGCCATGGGGCCGAATGAGGGGTATTGAGGGAATTCAGTTGTTTCTGAGGCTCAGGCGAGACTTCTTGCATAGTTTTGAGAGTGGAACGAGTTTCTGTGACAAGTGTTACTTGATTGTTCGAGGTTTCTTGGTGTTGAGTGTCAGGGGGTGCGCTGAGCGTTTCGCCGCACGACCCGTGGTAACAATTGAAGTCAAACAAGCTGTCAAACTCATGGCTCTCAATACTAGGCAAGAGCCATTGATCGATGTCCCATCCGAAGTTGAGTTGCCATTGTACGTCGTCGATGTCGCTCGTCCAAGGTTCTAGGTGATGATCATCGTGGTCCTCCTGAATGGGATAAGCGCCAAGACTGAGCTTGGCGCTGACCCTCAAACAAGATTGACCTCAAGTGTCAGACGTAGATGAGCCCTGTTGGACTGGGCAGTCAGTATAGAATCCTCAAGTGTCGAGCCAGACGATTCCGCTCGACGACGAAAGATGGAATGAGGGGGAAAGTCCGGGGACTAGACAAATGGGAGAGAACCTGATTGAAGTATGGACATCTGCGACCCCCCTCTCACGTGGCTCAGACTCAGGGCCAATTCTGTGATTCGCTGGACCTGAGCGGTACGTATATCTTACGTGCGGCTGAAGCTGTTGAGGCTTGCATGGGTTGAAACTGTTTGATCGGATAGTTGAATACAAGGGCCATTTATCTCATTCGTCAGCTTCATTCGGGATGCATATACTGAAGGGCCGGTGATCACACTCCTTTTGCTTGAGCTCACCAATCACAATTTTGGCCCTGGAACAGGCTTGCCATATCCAACGAGTCTCCGATGTTGCTGTCAGTGCTCATTTAGTTCACGAATCCGAAAAACGGCCCTGATGGAGTCGTAAATGGTTAGACCAATAACGAAACTGGCCCTGATGGCTGCAGCACCATGAAATACAAATATGTGAGACACCTAAAAGGGTCTACAGAGAATCATCCAATACGGAAAATGGCCCATTTCGAAGCTCAAGTTGGAGGAGGGAAACGGCAATAACTTGTGTCTGGCCAGCCAGCTTCAACAAACACGGTGGGTGGATTGTATAGTCTATACATATATAAGGTAGCGTTCATGGCAAGATTGAACCTTTATTCAGACCCTTAAATGTCGCAATAGCTCCTAGCTTCTTTCCTAATTTAAATTGTAACTTCCCACTGAACCTATTTTTTCTTTCCAACAAAGCTTTCAGAATGACTTCGTCGCATAGCAATGCCACCCCTGCAAAGAAAGGAACTGGTCCAAGCGCACCGATGAATCCCAATGCACATGGAAGTCAAGAACAAAGTGAGCCCAGTTCTACATAATAATGGCAGCTATACAGTTTAACCTTGATCTAGACTATACTTCACCAATGCTAGAATGGCTGCGGCAGAGTGACGAAGATGAACCGTGGAGGGGCTTCACGGTAGTGGTCATGGATATGAATGACTGGCAGAGTCATGCTTCCTCAGCTCAGAATCGTTCTGAGACTTGGAGCACACAAGCAGAGGCTGGGTCTCAAGCAAAGTAGTCTACAGGATAAATGTGACATCATAGGGACCCAGGAATTGCAGGTCATCACAGAACATCACTGAAATCATGAACAAGGTCGGATGATAACTACTTGAAATCAAATTCACTTTATTGCTGTCTCTTGACTAGGAAGCCCGGGCTGCCGTTGCTTTCATAGCCCGGTAATTGATACAGACTAGGTTGCCCTACTAGTAAATCCCACGCTCATTTCTCTCCGAGAAGGACAAGCCATACATGACCATAGAAATACCTTGAGCCGGAAGCAAAGGTGCAGAGACCTGCTCAAACCGCAGCAACACAGGCATAAGTGCCCTTCCACAAAGCTTTGCAATCCTCGCCAACAGCAGGGTTCCATTGCGCAAACTGGGCCATAGTGATCCCATAGTGGTGCAAAACCTCTCGACACGTAGTCCCGGCACCGATGTAGTGGAACTTGACACAGTTCTTAACCAAACCCGCCTGGATAGGTGAAGGAGTCGCGAATACATTGTCGGCTCCTAGGTTAGGCTTGATGTCTCTCGTTGGGGATGAAGTGTAGCCCTTGACGCAGACGCATGCGTTGGTCCCCGCCCACAAGTTGGTGCAGTCCTCTCCAATGGCGGGATTCCACTTGACGAAGTCGGCGAGGGATATTTTGTAATAGTCGAGAACGCCTCGGCAGGTGGTCGTGGGACTGACGTAGTGGAATTTGTTGCAGTTGGCTACCATGCCTTCTTGAATGGGTTCCGGGGTTTGGATGCTGTTTCCACGGAATTCATCTGCAGAAGAGGGCTTCTCAGGAATAGGAGGCTTTGCAGAGGACTCGTAATCTGAGTTGGGGATCGAGAAAGACTCAAAATCAGGAGAGGCCTCGGGTGTATCGCCGTATGATGGCTCATCAGCCGACGTAGGCTTTGTCGTCTTGGATTCAACGCCGCCTGTTTCATCTTTGCCGGCAGCCCCCTTGACACAGTAGCTACCGATGGGATCAAGCTTAGGACACTTGATACCGGGATTTAGCGCCAAAAACTCATCCAAAGTAATGCTCCAGTCTTCGGCCATGATCTCGCATGTCTGGCCTGGTAGAGGATTTGTTTCAGACGTGCACTTCACACCTCGGCGATAAGGCGTGGCAAGAGCGTAAGGCAGCGGGGAGACGAGGCTTACGGCCAGGAGTGTAACGAAATACATGTTTTTAGGTCGGTAGATGGACAAGAAGGAAGACGAGGAAATGGGTGGAAGTATTGATTGGCAACAACATGTATACTTATCTAACTGGCCCTTCTTATACTTTCCAACCCCCGCAGCAAATAAGTCACATTCTGGGATTTCTGAGTTTTCTGACGAATATTTATACCTTAGCAATTGGTCACAAGTCAGAACAGAATGTCTAAATAGTGAGCCGGATGTGTTATTTGTAGTTGAAGCCCGTGGCTGAGAGCCTACTTTCACGACGGAGTTCATTCCCCGCAGTAATGAACTGGAAGTCCCCTCAAACTCGTCATGATGATGAATATGTACCTTCAGTCTTGCCACTCTTTGTCTGTTGGCGATGGAGACCTTTCTGAGGGATCATTGTGGCAGACTGTAGATTTTTTTTTAAAGTTATTGGTTGTAATGCTAGGAGGACGACTGCGGCCTATAAGGTTATGCTTTAGGCTGCGAACACAGGTGATTAACCTGAGTAAAGACTTTCTGCCAATAGGAATTAGTCAGACCGGGGTAAGTGTTTGGTCGCGGGCCGAAGAGGAGTCACTGAGTCAAGCTGAGTAAGGGGATGATAGTCGTGGCACTGACGCCGAGTCAACTTCTAGGTGCTGGAGCCTTTCAAGGAGATGCTTCGCAGATAATGCCTCTCGTTTTCTTACCGAGATACTGACCTCAATCCACTTCCTCTACCCCTATAATTTGTCAGACTTGAGGCTATGGTAATAAGGGAAAAATTAGACTGGTCATAGTAGAGAGAGAGTCTGGCAACACCGATCATTATTGGAGGGCGACATACCTGGCTACCATGCTGAGAGTCTTGAGATTCAGTAAAGGATGGCCCTTGATAGCCGGAAGTCCTGGATCGGTGATCGGCTTGCAAGTATTTCCGACAGATTAATCAACTGACATTTTTCACTCCTAAGACTCCCGATGCTGATTGAGGTAAATACTGGGTTTTTATGACTCTGAAGGATGCACTGACTTTAAGAGTAAGTAAATTGTGGAGCCTGGGCGCATAATGATCCCAATCCGGGAAAAACTGTCACCTTTCGGCATTCGTTATGATGCCGACGGGATTTCCGGGCTGTCAGCATAACGTGTAAGTACGCACGGCAAATAAGGCTCATCCATTCAAGATGTCCGAAACATATTTGTTTGGGTATAAGAGATGACCAGAGTCCTCATAAATTGATGTTCACATCAAATTCATCAAATTCATATTTATTACTAGATAGAATCAGCAATATTTCTCAGAAACCATGTCTGAGTACGGCTCTTCCCAATTTCTCTCGCGCGGGTTGAATATCTTCGCCATTTTCTCCATGTTCACAGGAACAGTCGATATGATCACCGGTCATAAACTCGTTATACCCGAATCAGAGCGAGCTCTCCTCCCATCCCCAACACTCGCCTTTGTGGACAACCAGCTTCGCTTCTTGGGAGCAATCTGGAGTGGATATGGAATGATACTCTGGTGGGCTAGTAGCAACCTTCAGACGAGAAAGGTGCCTCTTTCTTTGCTTGGAATCGCCATGTTCTTGGCTGGTATTGGGCGCTCGATTTCAGGGCTAAGTCTAGGCTGGACTCCATCGTGGCTCAAGATTGCTGCTGCCGTGGAGCTCGTGGTGCCTCCTTTGATCTACCTGTTTGGATTCTAAGTGTGTAACGGAAGCTCTTACATAAATGCAGGTTCGCCACTTTGGTAAAGTCTATTGTCTCATCGCTCATTCGGTGGCGTAGACTGAGCCAAAAACTGACCTGAGAGGAGAGTGCACGGGCATATCGATACGATTACTATGGATGTTACTGTTGTGTCACTGCGACGATTGTTTAAGAAGGGAGATGGAATGACCACTCTTTGACCTCAACTCAAAAGGAAATCATATTACAAATGAAAAAACACCCTATTATCCCAAGTTTCTGGAAAATGAAGATATATTCAGAATAAGGTACCGAGAGCAATGCGATACAAATCGGTATAGGATCATTGATCTTTGTGCTTACGGCGTAAGAAATGATACAGCTGGGAACTTGAGTTTGTCATGCAGGAATGTATAGAATAAAAAACAGAAGCCATGTCTGATAAACGGACTTGAATAAACATGTACAATAACCTTCCTCGTCCCCCAAAAGATATGATAGATAGGTAGCAGAGATTTGATCGCGAGTGTCTTTCTCAGCTCATTTGAGAGGTTTGAACCTGCGGTAGTCGCAGTCCTCGTGGTCGATGGGGCTTCCGCAGCCATGTGTGGGATCACGTTCAACAAACCCAGTATTCAAGTTGAAAAAGCATCGGGGGATCTCTCCCTGAACAAGGTTGCTAGTGTCAACGTCGTCACTATCGCCTTTGTTCAGTGCGCAGTCGATCAGAGCCTTGTAGTAGGTCTCGCGATCACCCAGACCGAAGTCTCCCATCTTCTTGTAGATATCTTCATCAACTTCGGTCCAATCTTTAAACTGATTGGGGTTGGGATTGTTTCGCATGATATACCAGCAGTACTCCTCGCCGTCACGAAGAGGCAACCAGTGCCGACCAGTGGTGGTTTCATCGCAATCCTCACGAGTGTTCTTGCTGCCGAGCTTATCGGCGACAAGATAAAGCTTGGAGGCCTTCATAACATCGTTGGCGACCTTCTTCTGGATGTTATTGGTGATAGAACCCAGGGTAACGTGCACGGTGTCAACGTCGTTGTTGAGAAGGAACCAGCCGCCGTTGAAGAACTTGGCGATCTTGGTCTCGTATGTATCCCACACGGGAGCGGGGAGTGAGTCATACTCGCCGTCGTTTTCGCCGCCTCCAGTAGCAATTCGGAGGGTATTCTCGAGCTTGACTGAGGCATTCTTGAAGAGGTCGGCAAGACCGTCTGATATAGTAGCAGCGCCGTCATCCTCATCCTCGCCCAAGGAGAGGCCGGACATGATACCTGCCAAGATACCCATACCGGCAGAGATGCCATTGCCCTGTATTAGTAATGATCAGCAATGGAAATATCGGAACTGGAGACAGAGTAACATACCACTCCAGGCATAAGGCCACCAAGGGCATTACCCATGGTCGCGGCCGCTGAAAGCCAGCCCCTCATATTACCTCCCCCTTTCTCGCTTCCGCCAAAGTCCTCGAGCATCTGCCCGATCTTGAGACCATTGACCAGAGTCTCGGTGGTCAGCCGGCGGTGTAGCTCGGCGAATTTGCCATGCATGCCCTTGACGGCCTGGAACGTCCAGTACGAGTTCTTGCCGATAAATGTCTTGCCATACTTGTCGAACTGCTCCTCACAACCGATGCCGTTCATGGGGTTGCAGGGTGTTCCGAGGAGGGCACAGTCGCTAGCACCAGACTTGCCGTCAGTGCCCCCCATCACCTGGTCCTCAAGATTCACGAGCCAGTTCTTCGAGTGCTCTGTGAAGATGGCGGTTAGTATTGCCGTCTTTAGCTGGGGTTGGGTGAGAGAAAGCTACTTACCCCAGTGGTTCTTGATGAATAGCTCAAGGGAGACACCGGCAGCGGTTTCTTCCCAGAGCTTCTCGACGCCCTCGATGGTCTTGAAGTCCCAGCCCTTGCAGAACCTTTCCTTGTCATAGAAGATATCGTTCGCGCTGCCCCGCTTGGAGAACAATGGAGAACCCTCAGCCGCGGCGGCAAGAGCCAAAAGAGCGGTGGTGGTCTTCATGGTGAAAATACTTTGTGAGAAATAGATTGTCTTGTAGGAAGGGATAGTGAACTGAGCCGATGAAAACTTGTCTCTCAAGATTTTCCACTGCGCAAGAGAGGGCATATATATACCCAACATGTTTCATGGCCCAGGCTCTTCAGCATCTTGAGCTTGGAAGCTGGCACAAACGTTACTTGGCATCGTAACACCATTGGAGCTCTTGTGTAGACTTTGGGGGCCGGTGATGCATTAAACACTGCAAAGGATTCCTGGCCCAAGCTTGTAGCAACTGTGATGATCTGATTGATCCCGGCGTGTGAGGCGAAAAGGCGGCGTTGAGGTGGGGGCGGACTTTTATGGAGATGGCGTGGCTATCGCAATCAACGCCGCCCAAGACCAGGCCAGGATCTGAATCCATAACAAGGCAATCTAGGATACATGCTTTGCCAAACCAAGGACTTGATGTCTCCGATGGGTACCACTTCGGTACTAAGCTGGGCCGACTTACACTGTAATAGGCGTTCAAGACAAGGGGGCATAGAGTCAAGCGTAGCTATGGCATTTTCAGTTGAGACTTGTCGATGAAAATATAACCAGTGCACATTGTTTCTTATGGTATAATGTCTAAGTTGTTAGCTAGATGTGTTATTTACAGTTGCGGCTTGTGGCTGAGAGCTTAAATCAGCAGACAGAACTTAGTGCACATTGTTTCATCATAGTTAAGGTTCGAAATAAGTTTAAACAGCCATAACTATTTCCAAGACTTGTTAAGCTTGTTCTACCAGGATTAGTAGCCCCCAACCAGTAAAGGAGACTCGGCTCAACTAGTCCTCCCGTCTTCCCGTCCGTAGTTCGGCGTTTACTAAATCGACCACGGGCCCCTGCAGCGAAACAGGGTTCTAAACAACATATCGCCAAGAGCTTAAACAATCCTAAAAGTTTCTAATTGTTAATGATTTTCGTCACATCAAATCACGCGGGAGCATGGGATTGGGCGCTTCCCCAGATCATGACTCGCCGGCTTGCCAATGATGCCTGGTCATGGTGGGGTCCGGCAGATGTATGTCAGACGGGAACCCCCTGAGAATTCACAAAAGTCCGAAGTTCTGACGTCCAAGGTTGCAGTGAGTCTTACGCCAGGCCAATCCTTCACCCTTCAATTTATCAACAACATCACATACTGCATGACATTGTTAATAGAAACCACCTGCATGCTCAGCCTCACTTGATGCAACTCTGATCTTGGACGTGTTATCTGCAATTGGAGATTGGGCTGATAACTGGACAACACAGAGAGCTTGGTAAACTGTCAAAGTTCTAAATAGACCTCTTTCAACCTAATGATAGGAAACCCTTTGCAGCAAAGTCTTGTACTGGTTTGATAAGCTCGAAAAGGTCGAGCAAGCTTGTATCTCTCAAGTGGCACGATTCCAGACTTTTCTAGTTCGAATTGGGCCAGAGAGAACCGCCATTGTTTCCGTACTGACACTGCCGGTGATCGTTGCCTTGACATCCACTGCCACACCCCAGATTGCCCTGATTGGCACCATTGTTGTTACCGATCTGATTGACGTTGGCATACGCCCAATTGTGGTCGTAATAAGAATCCGAAGCTCCTTGGCCTTGACCAGCGCCACAGTGCGTGTGAGTCTGATAGTTGGCGTATCCATTGTGATAGGACATCAAGGGCTGGTTCCAAATAGAATGGCACCCTGACTCAACATAGTTCCACTGGCATGTTCGCGTATCAGTCAGAGTATGCGTCTCGCCCCAGGAGAAGCTGAAAGTTGCTTCAATGACTTCGCCGAACTTGGCGCTCAAACCAACAGTCCAGGTTTGAGAGACCGAGAAACCAACTGCAATAGCCTCAGTACACTGGTCGCAGTAGAAGCAATTTCCCACCTGGTGCCAGGCCTGGTACCAGTAGCCCCACTCCTTCTAATCCCACCACCGCTGGGTCTCGCTATAGCAGACTGGAGGGGCAGACTCTCTCTTGGTGAAGTCGTTGATGAATGCGGCAGATCCATCGCGGGCGGTGTGGCCAGGCTTGTGCTCGGCGCTCCTGACTCTGTTCTGGTGACGGATATCTTTCAGTTGCTCACGGGTGTATTTGTTGCGATGGACCTCGACGGTTCCGTCCGGATGAACGATCTCGGTGATGACATCGGAAGATGGTCCGCGAATCTTAAGGCAGATGGGGTCCGTGGTGCCTTCGACGCACTTGAAGAATGTTGTGTTCTCTGGGGGCTCGGTGTTGTCCAGCCTGATAGCAAGGGGCGTGGCATAGGCGGTTGCCACAAAGGATAGAACAAGAGTGCTGAGGAAATGCATGATTGTTTGATAGTGGTAGATTGAAGTAGATGCTGTTTCTCAAAGATGAGCTTGAAAGACTGACTGTTTATAGAGACTTGTATCCTCTATATATACTGATATCGTGGGAGTAAACATTACATCCAGTTGAGCGACATTACAACAAACTTTCAGTTCAAGCTTATCACGATACTATCAGCGCTTTACATCACCTTACATCCATAAGATGCCGCATACCCGTGAGATACACATAGAAATGATATATAAAAAAATGCCGTGTATCCGTTATAGGACTTCACGATTCAACCGCGGCGGCCGACGCCAGCTCACAGTAGGCTAGAGGATGATTTATATTCCCCGTTTGGGTGATTTAAAGCCTGATAAAGCAAGCTCTACTCAGCTGAGAGGCGTTTTAGAATCGAAGTTGGCCAGAGTATCTATTTCCCGTAGAAGTCTGACTGAGTTGGCTTGATCAAGAACCTGAAGGTCCAATCTCACGCCTAAAAACGCCACCCACTGAACCCCCGGATCCTCGGTGTTTTCTTCTAAATCCATCTGCATCTGCGATAACACGCAAAGTAATCACTTCGAAAAGGCTGTACGATAGCGTGATAAAATAAAAGATATGCGGTCTTAAGAAGTTGTCTATTTTTTGACAACTAAATTGGTGACTGGAATTCCTTGGATGCCGCGTAGACTGGCAATCTACTAGCAATGTGAGGTCTGGATGATGGAAGAGTAAGCCATTTAAAGATGTACTGCTCTCGAAGACGAACCGAACGACATTATCCATGCCCATCTCGATGGCAAGAGTGAGAGCCAATGAGAAGTTGTTGCAGTATCTGCGGCACTTTTCGTCATGCTGTAAGTAGCGTGGAGCTCCCAGCCACGGAGAGAGACTCACTTCTCCAAATGTAAATTGGAGCCTTGACAGGAGATGCAGTGTGACTGCAGGTGTGCAACCCCTTGAGTTTCCGAAAACTAGAGGATATAACGCATTCAAGAAGATATCGTCAGAATCTGAAGGTGTTGTAGTAGCCATTCGACACCAAATCTCTGATAAGACTGCGTAATCATTAAAACTTTCGCGTTGAAGGTCTTTGAACAGGCGGTTGGAGATGTCTGGTTGTAACAGCATACCGTAAACAATCCTATACATAAGTTTAACGATGCAATCTTCAATGTTGCTCTCATCGCGATGGCCGTAGTGGACTTCAAGCAGGCCGCAGCACCGACTTCTTAGCCGGCCCTCCATAACCCGGCCTTGGGCTTCCATCTCTGACAAAGTGACATGTTTTGTGCTTATCCCTGACAGGCTCGTATCCCCCCGAGCCCACTTTGGTGTGTCAAGTATAGGCCGAGTGTCGGAATGGGGGCGAATCCGCGGCACCTAGATGTATTGAAATATGATAAGTGATCGATGAGCGACTTGATCTTTTCCTTATCGAAGATGACCCAGCGGGATTGCTTGGTAACTTTAAAGTTACTGTGCCGGTCAGTGTCTGGTTTGAATTTTAGCTCCCCAAACTGTTTGAGGAATTTCCTGAAGCGAAAAGAGCTGGCGCCTTGGTAGCCCGTGGTTGGCTCGGCAGACTCACCGGCTCGTTTGAGACCATAGTCTCTTTGCAAAACCTGGCCTTCACTCAACAGAGCTTTGACGCTTTCCAGAGCACGTGAGACGATATGCCGAGTATCCGGATTGTATAACACCGCGTTAGCGTTGGGGGAGTCTTGCTTCAACAGTCCGACCCGATCAGACCACTGAAGGAAAAGCATCTTCTCAACATCAAGCTTCGTATCTAGAATAGCGGCATATTTTCCCATGTCACGCGCTGCTTTGATCATAGAGAAGAGGTCGACGCAGTCTTTGAACAAGTTGACTAGAGCCACGGCCCCGATGGTGAGGCCAGCTACTTCCAATGCACCTGTACAGATTATTGCGCAAACGTGAAAAATGAACTCCAAGAGGCTGGAAATGCTAGATAAAAACAGAAGCTACGGTAGTAGAGGTGGAGGGAGATAATGGACAATGCCAATTACCAAGTTGAAATATCCAATACCGAGCCACATGGCTCAGCATCACTCACATTGGATGCCTTTTCCAGAGGGAAGCATTGTGTAGGAAAACTGGACCTCGACCTCAAGCGACGAAAATGTTTAGCCAAGTCTAGCCTAAACTTAGGGCACTTTTTGCCGAGTTTATTTAATTCTCTTCTAAAGTCTTATCGTTTTCTCGGTCCTCCAGGGGCAGGGTAAAGTGTTGAGCAGTAGGACATCCTGGCTTTGATCGAGGCCTTTGATCGTCAATGAGAAAAAGACTTAGGTTAGTCTGTCCTTATATCTGGTATTATTGAACTCATCACTTAATTTCCTATCTGATGATAGAAATCACATCTCAATTGAATATAACTGGCTGTCTAGCTTGCAGTTGAGACTGTTGGAATTTATCGTCTTTTGCAGTCTTTTCCTTGTTGTTGCTCTTCACCTTCAAAATACTGGATATGGCTAGACCCATCTGCTGAAGTTTCCTCCCCTCAGTTTATGATTATCCCATCTACCATCTCAAGCGAATCTCAACAGCTGGAGGCTAGAACTTCGCCAGGGCCAATATGTCCACCATTGTCATTGCACCCATTGGCAAATCGGGACTCGGTAACAGCGGCGCCTTCCCGTCCATTGGTGCAGCAGCCTGGCTGTACTACCTGTTAGTTATGAAGTTCGTTATCTCGTAGACCTCTTCCTTACCTGGGATTTAACCAGCCTGAAGCTGCCACCAGCAGCATTACAAATGTTTAGGCTTGGGTTTAAGGCCCCGTTTGGCATACGACAGCCAAGAATACGTTGTGACAGGACTCCCATTGGGACGAGCAGTAAGAGTAGAGTTTCGATGTTCATGATCGCGATGCTTCTATGTTGACGTGAAATGCTAGAGAGAATGGTAGCATCTCGTTGCACTTTATATACTTGGTCGTCCAAGGTAGTGGGCCTTTGCAGCACCCCTTGCTGCCGCTGCCGCTGTCGTCCGATCAACTGACGATTCCTGACCTTAGAAGAGTAGAGTCGGTCAGTCTTTCGTTTGCTCCATCTTTTTGCAATCCAGCTCACAGCCAGGGATTAGGTAGGCTCTTGTGGTACAAGCCAGGTATCCACGCGTATCGTAGTGAGATGCTTCTCATTGGTCCCTTGGTCGCGTCCTTGCTTGTATAACGTCGTTCTCAGACAATCAGTCAACATGCGATTGACATGTCAAAAATAGCACAAGTCCATGCCATCTGTCAAAAACCTTTTCTTCTAATCATAACACAAAATCGACGTATCCGCCATCCTGAACGGATCAACCAGCCCACAGGGTAAATCCCCGTGTGCCATTCGTGGCATAATTTGGATGATGAAATTAGATTCGCGACAGTGCACGGCCGGCAGTTGCATTTATGCGTAATGCCGCAGTAGTCAAAACTTAAAGCGTAGTATTTTGGTTTCACTAAGGATGTGCAATTTCTCTCTCGTATTTAGACCTCAGGCGAATATAAACTGAACTCTGTTTACAACGATAGTACGTAGTCTCCTTCAGGACAACGGAAGAGCGGCAAGTTAATGTGTACAGATAAAGCGCTTCTTTGTGCTTGTGATTTTTCAGACTCGTTTATATGATATGGTGCTGGAGTATGGAATAGCAAACAACAGCTTGGTTTTACTTACAAGCTTACAAGAATTGGCGACAAGATGTACTTCCCAGAAATGCTTTAAATATTTTGAATGTTTTGCTTTCTCAACAGTCAGTGTCAGCCGATCTACCCGTGTCATAGCATACGATAAGGTTTTTGTAGCGGGCGACGATAGCGTCACTTGCATTTACCCAAGACAAATAAGCCTTCAATGGCATTGCCTCATTTCATCTTATTAAGACAATGTAACTTCAAGTAAACTCACTCATGGAAGATAAAAGGCCCTAGTCCCCTCGCCATGTATCTCACTTGCAAGCTGCTATCCTCGGATTGACTTCGTCTTTGAGCCATCAGCAAAAACACTTTCACTCGTTACCAACATGCAGCTCAAGACCCTCCTTGTCTTTACTGGAAACCTGCTCCCAGTCTTTGGGGCAGCAACCAAATCTTCCAAGGCCCCCGAACCTCAGCAACCGGGCATTGTCGCCAACTGCAAGTCATACTACCTTGTACAAAAGGGTGAAACCTGCTCCTCGGTCGCTACCAAGAACAAGATCTCCCTATCCGACTTTGAGAAGTGGAATCCCAAGACTGGTACTGATTGCAACGCCCTGCTGGCAAATGCATACGCTTGCGTTTCCGTCACCCCCTCAACTCCAGCGAAGAAATACTCCCCTACCCAAGCTGGCATCGCCAAGAACTGCGCCAAGTACGCTCTTGTTGGCAAGACCACGACATGCAAGTCGATCGAGACGCAGAACAAGCTTTCCTTTGCCGACTTTTACAAATGGAACCCCGCTGTTGGCAAGCACTGTCAGGGTCTCAAGAAGGGATACTATGTTTGTGTTGGTGTTGAAAAGGCTGTGACTCCGACACCGACCACTCCTGAGAATGTCACCGGCAACAAAGCGCCTTCGCCGGTTCAGAAAGGAATTACCAAGTCGTGCAACGAATACCACCGTGTTTCTAAGGGTGACACTTGTTCTGCTGTTGCGTTGGAATTCAAGATCGACTTGGATGAGTTTTACAAGTGGAATCCTGCCGTTGGGTCAAAGTGCGAAAACCTTTGGGCTAATTACTATTACTGTGTTAGCGTTGCTGGTCAGAAGGCGAAGACAACTCCCGCCCCTAAGTAGAGCGGTATATTGAGGGACCTCGTTTAGTATTGCAATATCTGTTTTAATTCGCATAATAATAGTAATTCGCTACCTTTGGATTATTTCAAGGGCTATCTATATACACTAAACTGTTCCAATTATTGACGGTATATAATATTTACATGCCTTGTATCTACTTCAACTCATGAATATCATTAAAACAACATCCCCAATCCGAGAAGGGCTCCAGCGGCCACTGTCCAAACCATGTACTGATGCTTGTTGGCTCCTGAAACAGTGACTGGTGTATATGGTGCCTCTCCAGCTTCCGATGAGCCACTGTGTGTGGACTTGGGTGCCTGCATCTCTTCGGTAACACTTGCTGCGGTAGCCAAGGTCGTTGTGACACCTTGCTGACCCTGATGAACAGCCGATGACGGCGAAGAATTTGCCGAGGCACCAGGCTGGTATGCAGAGACAGCTGTCTGAGTAGCACCACCTTGCGTCGCTTGAGGCTTGCTGTTCTTGGGCTCTGGTGAGCCTTGACCTGGAACAGAAGGCTGCTTGTCGCCCTGTCCTGGTTGAGAGCTTCCATGTGACTCTGAAGCTGGAGCAGGAATATCGGGTTGGCCGGTCTGAGAGCCGGATTGAGAGTTGCCTGGTGATCCCTTCGTAGGCTGTGCCACAGGATAGCTATGGCCGCTAGCATCTACCTGATAACCTCCGATACAACCAGCAGGCGTTGTGATCACTGGAGGTCCATAGCTCCCACCGTTACTGCCAACAGTGACATATGTGGTAGTAGTAGCTGTTTCGGCAACTACACCAGTGGAGCAAGTAACATACTCGACTACAGTCAGGCAAACAGTCCAGACGTTGTAAGCAGTGGGGTAGGGCGTTGGTAGATGACCTCCAGATGTTGTCTTGACGATAGTGGCACCGGAGGTGGAAAGCGACTTAGAGCCAACCTTTGTGGTTTTGGTAGATGAAGAACCGGACGACGAGGCTCCCTGGCTGTAGGTTGCATACGTTTGAATATAAGTCTGAGTCACTGTAGTACCCGAAGACACAGGTAGAGATGACCCAGCTTGGCTTGTAACAGAGCTTGGCAGAGATGTTGATAGAGAAGCCTCACTCTTTGTAGTCGCTAAAGACGATGTTGTCGAAATAGTCGAAGTAGCTGAGGGAGCAGAAGTAGAAACCTCTAAGGATTGGTTGCTCGTACTGGAGGAGCCCTGGCTGGCGGAGGAAGAGGTCGTGGGCTGTACCTGGGATCCTGTTACTGTAGATGTAGTCACAGTAGCCGATGTCTCAAGGGATGAAGTCTCATCACAGTCATCGGTTGATGTTTCAACACTGGCGGTAATGGTGGATAGTGAGCCTGTAGCAACAGTAGTAGCTGTGGTGGACTGTGCAGAGATCAAGGTTTCTGATGAGGTCTCATCGTCGCAGTCATCGGTTGATGTTTCAACACTGGCGGTAATGGTGGATAGTGAGCCTGTAGCAACAGTAGTAGCTGTGGTGGACTGTGCAGAGATCAAGGTTTCTGATGAGGTCTCATCGTCGCAGTCATCGGTTGATGTTTCAACACTGGCGGTAATGGTGGATAGTGAGCCTGTAGCAACAGTAGTAGCTGTGGTGGACTGTGCAGAGATCAAGGTTTCTGATGAGGTCTCATCGTCGCAGTCATCGGTTGATGTTTCAACACTGGCGGTAATGGTGGATAGTGAGCCTGTAGCAACAGTAGTAGCTGTGGTGGACTGTGCAGAGATCAAGGTTTCTGATGAGGTCTCATCGTCGCAGTCATCGGTTGATGTTTCAACACTGGCGGTAATGGTGGATAGTGAGCCTGTAGCAACAGTAGTAGCTGTGGTGGACTGTGCAGAGATCAAGGTTTCTGATGAGGTCTCATCGTCGCAGTCATCGGTTGATGTTTCAACACTGGCGGTAATGGTGGATAGTGAGCCTGTAGCAACAGTAGTAGCTGTGGTGGACTGTGCAGAGATCAAGGTTTCTGATGAGGTCTCATCGTCGCAGTCATCGGTTGATGTTTCAACACTGGCGGTAATGGTGGATAGTGAGCCTGTAGCAACAGTAGTAGCTGTGGTGGACTGTGCAGAGATCAAGGTTTCTGATGAGGTCTCATCGTCGCAGTCATCGGTTGATGTTTCGATGCTGGTACTGGTGGAAAGCGAAGCAGTAGTAACTGTAGTAATCTGAGACTCTGCAGAGGTCGAGGTCTCTGATGTTGCCTCAGATGTAGTTGTCTCTGCACTGGTAACCTGCGACGATGTGGTTTCTGAAGAACTAGCTTCTGTCGAAGTGGTCTCCGTAGTAGCAGCCTCTGATGTAGTCACAGCTTCAGACGTAGTCGCAGCTTCAGATGTAGTGGCAGCTTCAGACGTAGTAGCAGCTTCTGATGTTGTAGTCTCAGGTGCTCTCTTAATACCCACATCGTTCCTATTGAACGCGCTAGTTCCCTGATAGCTGTTGATCAAAGCACAGTCACCGCTTCCAGCTAGATACAATGCAACAACACAAATGCTCACAGCATCGCATCGATCCACGCAATCTGAAAACTCATCTCCGTTTGAATAATAGGCAAAGATATTCCCGTTGACTGTAGAAGTATCGCATAGAATATCGAATTTGTTGTCGTTGGGGCCAGTGTAAACACTGCCGGATAATTGACTGCAAGTTGAAGATGCTATCACACTTGGAAGAAGAGACAGGTTCAAGACCAAGAAGGCCCCGAAGCGCATTGACAGATGCATGCTGAAAAAGTATATGACGAAGTGGCAATGCTTGGAGTACGAGAGGAGGGAAAGTGGATGATTTTAAAGTCTTCTTATCCGTATAATGAGCCTCTGAGAGATGCCTTTTTCTAATGGCTCTATTGATTTTTTTTTAGCGCAACTAGGTTGTTTAGGCTGCCCAAGCTTGCAGTAAATCGCAGCTAGGCAGGGGTCAGCGCACCATAAACTGTTGAGGCAGAGCCAGGCATATCAAATCAATTTCATTATGTATAAGTTCCATGCAGCTCAACTGAACTATTGATCCCACTAAGCCCGATCTGATGGACTATTGATTTCACCACTGAGGCCGACGAGCATCTAAGTTAGACCAAAGAAAAAAAAACAAGCCTCAATAACCCCCCTTTAAAGCGATTGAGCTTTTTTTATTTTTGGCTTTTACAGGTTTGCATTTGCGTGACTCTCTTCACCCATTTTTGTTGATTATACGCTCACAGTCGTTATCCCAGCACACTCGCTCAGGATGATCCGACAGACGTACGTCACCGCTTTTATAGCAGCTTGTTTGGTGGCAGGCTCTCAAGCCGGCCCCTGTAAACCAAGCTCCCGGACAACTGAAGGCCTTACGGATACCACGAGCGATGCTCCGACCACTCTCGGCTCCACAACTGTATCCAGCTTTGGCGAAACCACTGCGGTCGCATCCTCCTCCACTTATCTCTCAAACGAAGAATCGAGTATCGTTATCACGGAGTCCGTAAGCAGCACAGAGACGTCTGTGGACCCCAGGGAAACATCTACCACTGCCCTGTTGACAACCGAAGACACGACGACTGAAGCTGCCTCCACTACTGTCACGACGACTGCATCGGAGGCTACATCGGCTATACCTTTCATCAGCAATACTGGATTCGATGATGACGATTCATCTGTCGCGCCTTGGGAACTCTACTACGACGAGTTTGCCGTATCCATCGCCTCTGGTGTCAAGCATGACGGACCCAACTCTGCTCTCGTGGCCAAAACCCTAGGGGCGAGACTCCTCATAGACTACATCAGACAGCCGCTCCAGGGTTCCATCACTGCTGGTGTTACCTATACCATGTCCGCTTGGGTCAATGCAAACTCCCTCTGCCCTGCTGTTACGCTCATATGCTCATATCAAAGTAACGCTTGGACGGATGCCACGCCTATTGATCTCACCTCGAGTGTAGACCAGTGGAAGTATGTTTCTTCGACTTGCACCTACACGCAAGAGCAAATTGATTCTGGGGGCTTGTATTTTATGATAGGGTTGACTTGTGCTTCTTACCCAGGACAAGCTTATATAGATACTGTGGACTTCTCAGCCTAGACGTTGAATGGGGCTCATTGGATAATGTTGAAGATGTGCATAGCAGGGATTTGAAGAAATCTGCTTTTTGATCGGGCACCCTGGACCTGCAGGGCGGACATAGCAACTTCAATTATGACGCGGTAGACAAGGACTATTTTTTCGGGTAACCCTGCCTACGGTCCTTTCGAGAATCGTTTTTGGATGCTGACATATGCGCCAACAAAAACTTGAGTCTCATTGGCGCTTGGATAAGCCGTAGTGGAGGTCGCGCTGCGTCTGTGTTTGTAAGCATAATCGCCAGTTCTGAGAGCTTAGATATTGGCAATACCACAGAACATGATGTAGGCTGAGTAATTAGCTATCGCGAGATGTGACTGAGCACACTATATAAGCGTTTCAATTTTTTGGGTGTAAATGTTACTACAGCACACAAGAAACGAAAATATTCACAAAGCTCCCTGAGAATACATTAATCTCTCACACGACGGTGGACCATAAAGAAATACTACGACCAGTACGCAACTAATTGATATACCTTGGCCAATGACTAACACAAGTGAAGAAGTATAGTTTGGACGATATCCCATCCTTAGCAGGCAAAGTCGCCCTCGTCACAGGAGCCAAGTGAGTATCACCGCGCTTGCAGCAACATACAACTAATAGCTTCTGTAGCACTCCAGATGGCATCGGCTATCACATCGCACATCAACTCGCACTCAAGGGAGCAAAAGTCTACATCGGCGCCCGCAATCTTCAAAAAGCAACAAAAGCTATCAGAACCATGCTTGCCGAATCACCGCAGCTAAAACCCGAATCTCTTGTTCCATTTGCCGTTGACATGGGAAATTTCAAACAAGTGCAGTTCGCTGCGAGAAAGGTTGTTGCAGAGGAGCCCCGGCTTGATATTCTAGTCAATAACGCTGCTGTTATCGCCAGACCTCTTGATAAAGACGGCAATGGCATCTCTGTCTCATTTGGCATCAATCACCTCGGCCCTTTTCTTCTTACTAGGGAGCTGTTACCGCTGCTTAACAAGACTCAAGCTGAACATCCTGGGGTGCGGATTGTGAATGTTGCTTCGACGGCTCACTATGATGTTCCGACGGGTGCAAAATTTGGATCGCTAGAAGATTTCAATAATGCCTATGGTAGTGAGAATGAGCCTTTAGCTAATTATCTTCGGTACGGCTACTCCAAACTCGCAACTATTCTGCACACCAAAGAACTTCAGCGCCGTTTTGACCAAGAAGGCGTTGACATTCTAGCCCTCAGTGTTCATCCCGGAGGGGTTGCAACAGATGGAGCGGCAGGATATCTTGGGGGGAGAGACAACGACGTCTTCCGATCGAACCTCTCACCTTTCGAGGGTGCCATCACGCCTCTGTTTGCTGCTGCCCACCCGGAACCAGCTCAGCACAGAGACAAGTATGCTGGATCATTCATCATGCCGTTTGGTGGACTGAAAGAACCAACCGAGGATGCGAATAACGCCGAGTTGGCGAAACAGCTTTGGACAACGTCTGAGCAGGTGGTCAGTAGTGTGTTGGACTGTTTTATTTGGAATAGCATATTGATGCCAATGGGGGGCATTTTCAATATTGGGCAAAGGCCATAGTGACTCGTTTCTATAGATTTCTTGTAGGTTACAATCTTCTCGGTACACTATTTTATTGGGCCATCTGAATATATCACCATTTCAACAAAACTGAAGAGAAATTCAGGTGAAGGATCTCCCCAGACAAGGGGGACTCTACTTACATTACCCCGACAGCTAATGAATCTTTCGACTAAGCAATCATTTGACAATCAGCTCTTGGCCGCCATGATTCTTAGTTAAACAAGGCACTATCAGAACTTGAATCGCTCATCCTACCAAACTCATTCAATACAACCGCTTGGCATCGCCCTCCACGCCCGAACGATGTAAACAACACCTGACTCTCAGCCATTTCCCAACATGGCAACTATAACCACCAAGCAAAACTCCTCTTCTCCACAAGACCAAACGCTGATCTCTGGGGTTTCCCCAAAGTCCACGAAAATAGTGAAAGGGCTCGGCTAAAGCGGGGCCGTCTCGTCTCTGTGGAAGTCATGCTCGTCGGTATCAGCATTGTCTTGGCTTACTGATAGGACTTTGCCTTCAGCTTCGTCGGGGGACCATTCGCGTGGCACTGGCCTCTCGCTTTTCAAGCTGCCTTTGCATTATGGGTCATCTTTGTGGTGTTTGGTGTACCTGAATCACCTCGTTGGTTGCTCAACCATGGGAAGAGACAAGAGGCCATAGAAGTGCTGTCAACAGTCTATGATAACCCAATTGATCACCCTGATATCCCGCGAGAGGTCCATTCAATGGAGACGGCGTTGTCCATTGAAGCTGAAGCAGCGAGAAGTACTTCTTTGGCTTCCACATTCAGAAAGGATAAAGTTAGCACGAGATACCGAGTCTTTCTTGCTTGGTATGTGCAGTTTATGAACCAGACTGGCGGTATCAACCTGGCGGTTTACTACATCTTAAGCAAGTCCTTTATCCTGATGCAATAACTGAAATGCTAACGTATCCAGCTGTTCTGACCGCCAACATCGAGCTCGAACATAGACTTGCACAGATCATTGCCGGCTGTATCCAGCTGATGTTCCCCATCGACTCCTTGCTCCCAACACTGGCTTTAGACAAGATGGGTCGTCTATCTACCATGATATGGGGGTCTGCTGGACTGTCGTTCTCGGTGATGATGGTTGCCGCACTTTTATCTCAGGTTGATGATATATCACGAGGCCGAGCATTTGCTGCTAGGTCAGTAGCTTTCTTCTTCACCTACATGCTCGTCTTCGGTGCGAGTATGAACTGTGTTCCGTGGGTTTTTCCGAGACATAAACCGTTGCTCGAACCAAGGGAACTGCCATTAGCGTCAGTTCTAACTGGCTCTGGAATTCCAAAGTAGTATGCCTTACTCCCCAGCAAGTTTCTCTGTTTATTTGAAACTGACGATTTACAGGTCATGATCACTCCCGTCCTCATTAATCGTCTTCAGTGGAAGGCATATCTCATTTTTATGGCTACCAACCTCATTTTCGTTCCGATTATCTTCGTCTTGTACCCCGAGACGTCTAACTTGGTTCTTGAAGAGGTTGACAACATTTTTGCTCGTGGTGAGAATATAGTTCAAGTGGCTAGGGATATGCAGAAAGAGCTTGCTCTCTATGAGCTGTTGGCGGATGATTATCCTGAGAAGGCAACAAAGGTGGAAAGCAAGCCGCATGAGAAGGGTGATGAATTTGTTGAGCATGCCCAAGCTTGAGCTCTAGGTCTTCAATAAGAGCTGGGCTATTCATGTTCATCAGATGGCATTAAGAGTATGCGGTGATCCAAGAAGCCAGAATCATCAGAGCCTAAAACATTAAATACAGGTTCCAGATTTGAACACGATTGCGAAACCCATCATACGACCGGGCGGTGCTTCAAGAGCATTGAACTCGGCGGTGAGCACTCGTACAAAGATTAATTAAGGGTGAGCTAAAGTCAAGGTTCCTGACTATCAAATTTAGGCTACTCAATAGGTATCCATGCAACTTGTAGGCTAATCGGATGCCGGCACTGACTATTGAACTGCCGGGATATTAAGCTTTGACACGAGACGACCAGCAGGTATAATTTATAGGCACCGGACGACACGGACGTCAACACGAGCAAAATGAACTATAAGAAGCCTAAAAATGGCGTTTCATCTCGTATTTATATATATTAGACTTTTAGAACCCTAGTGCTGGAGAATAGATGTCAAAGGACGACAAGGGTGAATGCCCAGTATATATTGTTCATTCTCCCGCTGGCACTACTCTTATTCCAACCTGACATTCAGAACAGAAACTGATTTTCTTTCCCACTTACTCAAAATCTGCGCCAGAGGTAAGTACATATGATAGATCCCCATGATCAGTTACAGAAGGCCACTATGCTGAAACTCAAGCAGCACCATTCATCTATCTATCTCACCATGTTCGCCCGAGCCATCCTCCTCATCGCCTTCGTATGCAACGTCTCAGGCACACCCTATGTAGTCACCAACCCCAAGGACCTCCACAGCACCTGGTCCAGCGATGACTACAGCGCCACACCCGATCCCCAAGGCCATTCCATCCGATGGGCGTTTACCGTAAAGGGACATAACGGTGTTCCCGACCCAGGAAACTTTGCAGCTTCATGCCACGGCCTGCAGGTCGTTTCTGATGACCTCGATCTGAAGGGGAAGCCTGACTTTGAGCGCTGTAACGACATGGCGTACGAGGCTCGCCAGTACTTTTCTGGGCAGTTTACTACTGTCGAGGTTCGGCGCACTGATTATCCTGATCTTGGGAAGGAGGTGCAGATCTCTGCTACGGCGAATTACAGCTCGACCAACGATAATATTGTTGGTGAGCACTTGAAGTTTGGCGATTTTCAGACCAAGTTCATTTCTACACCTATTTAGGGTTGGGATTTCAGGGTAGAATAAGCTGTCCATGATTTGTGCGTAAAACTCAATGTATATCTCACTTTTGACCTGAAATACTGTCGTCTTACTGTGTGCATGTGTTTATATTGGTCATCCTGCCATAGTGAATAGACGTCTATTGGTGGTCAGGAACGTCAATGTCAAAATTGCATGTATATCGAGAATATTCCATGGTGCAACGTGGCGCTCATAAGTATGTCACCCCAGCTCTAACATCCAACGTCCGTAGTCATGCGTCATAGTGTTTGAGTGCATTCATCCACTCCCTCAATGGCTATATTTCTCAAAGGTGTTTAGAGATGCTCTGGTCCTCGGCCGGCAGAAATATACACCCGGCTTTCACTCCGAGGATCGCTTAGCTAAGAACCTATCCCAACCCACCAGTTACCCCTCCCTCTTCCGCCCTCGGATAAAGCACCAGCTATCGGAAAACGATCTCATCACCTCTTAATCGACTCGAATTCATTTCTCTTTTTCAATCTCCCTTTGCCTGATCAAATACTCTCTTATCCCTTAAACAAAATGGCAGAATGACTACCTATCACATCCGTGACGTTGATAACCGGGTAGAGGGGCGTCTCGCTCTTGTAACCGGAGCTAGGTACAACATGCACCTATATGATCCGATCGTTTCAATTCTAATTACTCTCAGTGGTGGAATCGGCTCAGCTATTGCCAGAGCTCTTGCGGCAGAGGGCTGCGATGTCGTACTTCATTGCAACGCCAGTCTGGTGGGTTACCCAACCCAACGGAATGCCTCATACTAAACCATCTTTCCAGCATAAAGTCGAAGCTTTGTCTAAAGAACTAATATCAGCCCACCCCGGTCAACTGTTCCCTTGTGTCTCAGCAGATCTCAGCTCTCGCGACGAAACTCGCGGTTTGGTCGACAAAGTGTTCCAAGACTCTAGCATCTCCGCCAAGCATAAAGCAGTGTCTATTCTCGTTGCGAATGCTGGTCTTGGTAGGCGCATCCGAGATATCCAGAGTATCGAAGAAGATGACTGGGACTCGGTTATGGAAGTTAACGCGAGGAGCCAGTTTGTGGTGGTGAAGGCCTGCTTACCTGCTATGAGGGCGCAAAGCTGGGGTCGCGTGATTCTGGTCGGGAGTATTGCGAGTACTGGTGGTGGTATTAATGGGTGTCATTATGCGGCAACCAAGGGTGCTCTGAGGTAAGATACTGATCAATGGAGCATAAGAGAAAAGAACTGATTTCTGGAAGCTCCATGGGTAAGAATCTTTCAACTGTCTTGGCAGGTGAGGGAGTCACAGTCAACACTGTAAGTTATAGACAAGCTGTCCCCACACAGATATTAACATAAGGTCCAGATTCTCCCCGCAATGATTGGCTTTACAGACATGATCCCAACGCCCAAAGAAACGTGAGTACTTTTCGTCTGCAGTTGGAGGTCTCGGTAAAATAGACTGACACGAGACATAGAACATGGACAAGGAAAACGGACCTGGAGGAACTCAAAGAAACAGATCCTGGCCTGGCTATTGCAGCGAGTGTCCCTGTACGCCGATTGGGCCATCCTCAGGAGGTTGCCAATATTGCTGTCATGTAAGTATTTCTCTATCATTTTGGATAACGACTGACATTTCAAAGGATGGCAAAAACTGGATATCTCACAGGACAAGATATCATCCTGTCCGGTGGTTTGAAATAGACCTCTGGTTTCTCAAGGCTCTCTAGATCCGTACGGCTCTGTTATTTCAGGTGCGAGCGACAAAGACCAAAAAGAACATACAACACCGGGGATTCGCTGGTCGTCACCGACCCAACTACTAATCCGGCGCTTCGCAGCTTGACGATGGGGGAGCGGACGGGACCCCGTATTCTCTACGAGCTTTGGTCGTATGTGGAAGGATGTCTGAGTAATGTCAGTTATGCAAGAGGACTCAGGCAGATGGGAGGAGCATAGAGCGTTAACTCCTGGGTCTAAATGTTCCTTTCCTGTAGCTAAGATCTAAAAAGGGGACTGTTGATTCATCAAGATGTCTTATAAAGTTATAATAGCTAAGTATACAGTCTAGCAGTTAACTACCTCTATCTCTCGCTAACAAACTGACATCTTCACGGTAAGTCTGCAGATATCATCATGCGTAATGAAAGGCAAGCAAAAATTCAAATTTTTACTCAATTGACAAAAGATAAGTTTCTGGAGCGACGCAGGCCTGATTCGAACAGACGCCTCCGAGGAGAATAGATTTCTAGTCTATCGCATTAGACCACTCTGCCACTGCGCCTTGATGCTCCTGATTGGATAAAACTCTCAGCCTTAGTCATGTTCATATTCCTATAACGACTCCACTGTCATTATCATCTCCATGTCAATCGATGAGCTCTCGAGGCCTATTTCAGCTGAAACCCTTCAAACCCATTCTCAGTACAGTCTTTCAGCGTCTTGGTATAAGTTGGAACGCCACCAAGGTAAATCAAGCACTCGCGCGGCTTGCCTGGGATATTATCCCCCATATACCACTAAAACACGTTAGCTATCTGGATTTCATCCCCGAAAATGAGTTCAACATACCGACTTGGTGCTGGGTAAAAGAGAAGCACTGGCGATGTTGCGGACTTGTGCCCCCCACTCAGCCTCTGCATCTTTACAGGCTTCAATCTTATGACGGCCATGGGCCGACATGTACTTCATAACCTTGACAATGAACTCGCCCTGTGACTCAGCACATGTCGGACCATTGCACAACGCCGTGGGTGCTTGAGGTCCATATGTGAAGAACATGTTGGGGAACCCAGCAACAGCCATGCCGAGGTACGTTTTTGCACCAGTCTCCCACTTATCTGCGAGTTTAACGCCCGAAACGCCTTGGATGTTGATATCCTTCAGACCGCCAGTGATGGCATCGAAACCCGTTGCGCAAACTACGACATCAAACTCCCACTCCTTCTCAGTTGTCTTGATACCGCGTTCTGTGACTTCAACAACAGGCGTGGCGTTGACGTCTACCAGGGAGACGTTGGACTGGTTAAAGATCTCGTAGAAACCGTTCTCAAGAGAAATTCGCTTACAGCCGAAACTGTATGGCTGTTTCTCTGGAGCTAAGATCTCCTGGCAGCGGGGATCCTTAACGCGCGATCGGACCTTGGATTTCCAAAACTTGTAGGCTTCTGCATTCGCGTCCTCTCGAAAGATCATATCCTGATAATTCGCAAGCCAAAACTTGAAATCGCCATGGCTCCATAGTTCTTCATATACTGCACGACGCGTCTCGGCGTCATCACTGAAAGTGTCGTGGGGATAAAAGTTAAAGTCGAATCCGCCAAAGCTAGCAAGTCGACCTTTGAAGACCTCGTTGTAACGCTCTTCAGTAATTGACTTGTCGTTTCGCGAATATTCAATCTGTTTCATGGGCAGTGCCATGTTGGGCGTTCGTTGGAACAGCACGAACTCGGTTGCAACTTGGCTAAGCTCTTGTGCGAGCTGGACGCCAGTGGAACCTGTTCCGATGACTGCAATCCTCTTGCCCTTCAGATCAGGTTCCTTTTCGGGCCAGTAAGAGGGATGGATCCAGAGACCAGCAAACCTGTCGATACCCTTCCAGTCGGGTGTGTGACGCTTGGCTGCGAAGCCAGTGTTCAAGAGTAAGTATCGCGCAACGAATTTCTTGCCATCCTTACTCTCAATTTGCCATCTACTCGTCTCCTCGTCCCAAACAGCTTTGGAGATATATGTGTTGAAGAAGGTGTCCTTGCGAAGATCCCATTTCTCAGCGACGTAGGAGAAGTACTCTCTAAGCTCGGCGCTGCCGGGGAAGCGTTGTGTCCAGTTCCAGTCACGCCATAGCTCGGGGTCAGAGTATTCATAGTGGGGTATGGCACTGTCCACTCGAGCACCTGGGTACCTGTTCCAGAACCATACACCAGCGTAGTCAGAGGCCATGTCGACGAGTTTGACACTGTAGCCTTCTTCGCGGAGTCGTTTGAGTTGGTAGACACCACCGAACCCGCCGCCGACGATGAGTGCGTCTAGGACTGTTGTGTTGACGGTCATGATGGATATTCTTTTGTATAAGGGATTTAAGAAAGACCCTCGGTGGATAAGATCAGAATGTTTGGTATAACTCAAGCCTTGGTCGACTGTCGATGTTTAAATGATACAATGCTTTGTTAATGCCCCTAAGAGTCATGTCTATTGAAGCTATATATAAACGATTCTTATCCTTCAAAATCACTTCCGCTGTCAGTCTTCGGAAGAATCACAACATCAAGAGACTCCGGGAGCATCGGAACCTAGGCCGAAACACCTGACCAGGCAGTCTGAGCTTCGGCCGCCATGTATATCTAGTATGCTAGAACTAAATTCCACATTTATTTGATCCAAGTATAAACATACTCGACTAAGATGCCATTGTTTTTCGGCTCGGATGTGGCGTTGGCCATCGGTATCTGGGGGGCTTTATATCCGAAAAACCTCCTTGAGGTTCTGTTCCGCGGAACTCTTGACAAACTTCCGAAGAAACAACAAGAAGCTGATTTTACTTCCCAAATTGATAATTCATGTTATCCGAAGAATTGATTGAGGAGAAGTACTATTAAACAGGCTTCTTCCACAAGCGCTCACAAGAACAGATAGTTCGCCTACCGGACTGCTCCTAACCAAAGCTTTTTTCAATACAAAAATAACATCCAATCTACAAAGCTCAACAAAATTAAATAAAAACATAATAAATATGTCTTCCTACGCCGACTCCTGGCTCAAGGTAAGCTCCCATGCTACCCAATCTGTCATGAGCACTAACCCGTACAGTTTGAAGAGTCTCTGGGTGGCGTTCGCCCCGTCCTAAAGGGCTCCGCGGAAGAAATGAGAGATCAATTCATAGGCCTCGGGTCTCTCCTTGCATCTCAAGCTCCTCCCTTTCCAGAAAACAAGTTGAAGATCAGTGATGGAGAAGTAGGTGGCGTGGCATATCGGACCTACACGCCTCTCAACTCCGAAGCCAAGAACTTGCCCATTGGTGTTTTCTTTCACTCTGGCGGTTTTGTTGTAGGGAACCTTGACTCTGAGGATGGCTTCTGTCGGTATATCGCACTGAATGCCAATGTGGTTATTTTGAGCGTTGATTATCGGTTATCTCCTGAACACAAGGCCCCGGCACATTTAGAGAACGCAGTGACACTTTACGAATGGGTAAGTGGAATAGCGAGTTCTCGGCCTATTTGCAAGTACATCAAGGCCCTTCTCTGACAATTTTGACTCTCAGGCCTTCAACCACGCCGAAATCGTTGGCGGCAATCACTCTAATATGTTTACCATCGGCACATCAGCTGGCGGCGCCCTTGCCCTCGCAGTTGCTCGAAAGGTAGTCCTTGGTGAAACCAATCTGCCCACGGATGCTATCACTGGAGTTGTTGCACTATGCCCAGTAGCATTCCACCCACGAAACGTCCCAGCAAAGTTCCAGTCGAAGCACTCGTCCTACAAGGATAACAAAGACAACGTACCTATAATCGATGAGGAATCACTTCTGCAGATGTTTGATAACACGGGCATTGATCCCGAAGACAAGAACTACTTCCCAATGATGGATTATAGCTGTTTGAAGGCTTTCCCTCGAACATATATCGTGACCTGCGGTATGGATCCATTGCGAGATGATGGGAGGATCCTCCATGACAGCCTGTCCTCGGCTGGCGTGCCTACCAAGAGCGATCATTATGGAGATATGCCTCATTGTTTCTGGATAGTCCCATCTCTACCTGAGACAGAGGTGTTCTTGAAAGAGCTGATAACCGGGATCAGCTGGGCCATTAAAACTAGCACTTAGCTCATCAGAGTCTATACATATATACATAGCTTACAGTTGCCCAATATATCTTTTAATTTGATAGCTATATGCAGAAAACAATCCTTCATTAAATCATAGGCCATCCAATTGCATATATCACAGTCCAAACGCCAAACCATTCGTCCCCATATTTCCTTCAACCTCAAGACTACATACATCTACAGTTGAGAAAAGAGGAAAACTAGCATCAAATGAGCCGAAATCGATCGTGGTGGGCGTGGGAAGTGAGAATGCCTCCAAAGCTTCATGTGGCAACATGCCCATCAACCCCCCATCCATGTCTCCAATAGATTCTCCAAATGACCAAGTATCAACGATTTCCTCACTCTGGTTGAAAAGACTGACAGAGTTTGTCTTTGCTTTTTCGTTAGGCCTCGGAGTCTGTGGCCTGGATCTATCATGCACAGTACCAAACAGGTTCCGCACCAGAAGGCTCTGTCTCTCCATTTTCCGGCGCGCTCTTTCATCGACGTATATGTTGCAGACAGTTTGTAGGTTATCGATAGTTTGCAGTGCGCCCTTGGCGACAGGGTCATGAGTACTGAACCTGGACATCAAGGATCGCACGCCAATCATGCTTTTCTCGAGAGGGAAGATATGATCCAAGTCGTTGAAGTAGGCGGTCCCAAGTACCAAGGCTGCAACAAATAGAGAATTTACGACAAACGGGAGACGTTTTGGAATTTCTCGGTTGTCTCCCATGACTTTTAGGAGGTCAACTGTCCTGACTGCAGAGTCGACGCAGGAAAAGGCGAGGACCTGGTCTGGCTCAGTTGCCGTAGTCGGAGGCTCCCATTGACTCATGTCCTTGCTGGCTTTGTACATATGTTTGGAAGCGCTTTTCGTCAAGGACGGTCGAGCAAGCAGCATTATCGTCCAATAATAAGCTTCTTTGAGGTGGCATAAACCGATGTTTGGCGTTTCCTTCCCGTCGGCTTCGTCGATGAATTTCGATGGTTTTATGCTATCAGTGGCGAGACCTAGAGGGAACTTGTTGGCCCATTGTCTATGATGCTCACTGATTCGTTCCAGGTGGCTGTTTGAGACTTTTTGCGGGGAGTAGATGTTGGTAAGGATATCTTCAAAGATAGAGCATAGATCATTAGAAGCCGAATAATTCTCGTCGGTGCCTGTATTTCGAGTTTCGTGTGTTGATGGGGGACGACCAAGAGATGCACTCATAAAGAGATCTAGGACACGGAGAACCTTCCACAGCCTCTCTCGCACAAGGTATTCGGACTGCTTGAAATGCTTGTTGACATCGTGTCGCTGAATTCCCAGAGCATATGCTGCGCGGACAGCACTGCCGAGGTACATGAAGGCAGCGTTCCGCCGTGAAGCACCAAGCAGGTACATAGTTATAAGAATGTTGGACTGCACGGCGGATATACTAATGTCGTCCATGATGACGGATGTGGTCAGGAAGCGTCCGTAGTTGAAATACTGTTCTGCTTCCTTGTCCCTATTCTCAGGGCATGTCTGGGCGCCAATTGCAAATATGAGAAAGAAGACTGCTACCGAAGCTTTATCTTCTTGTTCGCCGGAGCATTTTTGATACCAAGATGCCATTGACTCGCTGATTTCTCCTTCTTCGAAGAGGTTGAGCACGCAACTGGTTGAGCGGAAGAACCAGGAGACTAGATACCGAGCCTCTTCCTCTTCGGGCATGACTGGCGCATAATCCATGATACTGACAAGCCATGTAGAACTATCCGACGGTTTGGCCTCAACCATGAGATGCTGTAGAGCGTCCTCCGTGAATGCACAGGGACCGAGCGAATCGCGAACTAGTCGTCGGATTATCTGCAGAAACGACAGGTTTGCTGCATCGCCAATGAAGACGAACTTCCCGTGGCCGTCTTGTATGAGCGTAGAGAGCTGTGGATGATCGGTGCGGGCGCTGTGTGAATCATGTCCGGTCTGGCTGCCGATTTGAGGCAGTGTTTGGCCAAAGACTTCGATAGAGGAGGATACGCTTGGTGATATGTAACCCTGTGAGTTGTCTACACCAGATGTAGGGCTCACATGGTTAGGGCGAGCCTTCCGAACTCTGCGCCTTGTTGTCGGAGAAGGGGTAAAACTGCACTCGGCATCCACTCCGCGGGTGATGCAGCGGCCACACGGTTGACGGCCGTCACAGCGCTCTTTGCGACGCTTGCAGGTGTAGCAGGCATTAGCGCACCGAAGGCGTTCGCTGTCTTTGAGTTTACGAGAAGGCATTGTTTACATAGGCGTTATAAATAGAAGTAGAGACATGAGAGTACGAGAACACTCAAGAAATCCGGGGACGGATAACATTTAAGTCTTTCAACGGGATCTGCGGGCGACCTAGATTGCGGGGTTAGAATCTTCCCAGGTACGCTAAAGGAAGCGAACCTATTAAGACAGATGGATATCTGGTTTAGATTTGACTACATGCGGCCACGTCTGGAGAACCTGGTAGCGGGCTGGGTTCAGCTACATTCTCCATACAGGGCATTGCGAGCATGGCCATTGTGGCCTCTTTTAACACGGGATCTTAGTTTTTGATTCCCTTGTTTTCCGCGACAGACATCTTGTAACTTTCTCACTAATGATACAACACACAGAAGTCTATATGGCAAGTATTGAATTGTACCCATTGCCTACGTGGTCTACGTCGCTTTGGGCTCTTTCTAAAGACGGTCGAACCAGTTTTAATCTCCCCCAGCCATTGACATAGCAGAGCACGTAAACTCAGAGATTAATAGTGCGATATGTAGTTATTGTTCCTAATAAGTAGGGTGTATCAACTCTCTCGGCTCTGCCGAGGTGAAGTGTGGGGGAGACAGGTCTATCCCACAACCATCGGAACCCCGCAGCCCCGGATCCGATCCGATGCAGGGCACTACAGCCGATGGCCAATGCTGTATAAACTATTTCGCGGTCACTGGTTCCAGTATGTACTAGTGATGCCTTTCACTACTAAACTAAACGGGTTGCTCAAGGAAACAGGGTTCAGCATGCTGCAAACTGAAATATACCCAGTGGGATGAAAGCCCAAAGGTTCTTGGTTATCTCGCAAGTCCACGCCGATATAAGATGGGAGACTTAGCTCTAGTATCATGCCAATGTTTTTGTGAGTCTTGTATTGCTTCATGCTTAGGCTACTGCTGCTTACACATGCTTCCCAACATTCCCGAAGCCTGGGCTTCGCCATCAATTCCTCCCAACTTCTTCTTCAGCCAAGGAATCTCCTCCAAAGAATACCGATACGCTCTAAACAGGGCATTCGACTCCCCAGGGAATATCTTCGATGTAGCTTGATCGGGATATGGCGCAAAATGCGGGTTGATAAACTCCCAACAAACATATCCATCTTTAGTAACCTCAAACAATCTTCCAAAGGCACTCTCGCACAGTAACGTGTTTCCGTTTGCTAATCGCTGCGCACTGCCCATGAATGGGGTGAAGAAGTTGTGCATCTGTGAGCGGTCTCTGTACTCCCAGACGATATTCTTCGTTTGTCTATCGACCTCGATGGCGCGGGTATACGTGATAGATTCACCGTTGCGAAAAGCTCCATTGTCGAAGATGAGAATGTTGCCGTTGTCTAGTTCAGTAGCGTTGTGCTGTTGAGCAAGAACTTCTGGGCCGAGCTTCCAGACGATGTTGCCAGTAGATCTCTCGATGATGATGACGGATGATACTGATCGGAGAGATGCGAGGATGTGTTGACCATCGCGCATCGGGATGACGGAGTTGATGAGTGGGTAGTGTTCTCTTGTGTAGTGGGCTTGAAGGGGGTATTCGTCTCGCGGGAGGCGCTCTGAGACCTTCCATTGCCAGACAAGATTGCCCTTCTCATCGACTTCATTGATGGTATCAGCATATGTGATGCCGTCGATCTCGCTCCCTGGGACACCACCGATAACTTTCGCTGAGTCTTCAGGAGACAGAGCCTCAAGACCGGTATAAAGAAATCGTCCATCACCATAGTGGTACTGATCATGATGGCCAAGATCATCCGTGAACTGACGCACCACTTTGCCATCGGGATCAAGCTCACTCATTACTCCACCGCCGTACTTGTTAAAGAAGGGAAAGGGGAATGGACCTCCATCTTTGGTGGTGAGTTCAGTTGTTCGAAGAGTGTTGACAGCAAGATTGCCATTGGGTAGAATTCTAGCGTGTCGACCAATTCTGCCGGGGAGTTTCCATGAGTGGACTTCTTTGCCGTCAATGTCAACCAGGTGAGCTGTGTCGCTGGTCAGGGGACAGAAAAGGGTGTAGCCCCCGAAGGACTTATCCTTGTCGACACCTGTGAGGCCGACGCCACGCCTTTTAAGTGTGTTTTGTTCCATGGCAGATGCTTGATTTCTGGTTTTTGGTTGATGGATTGCTAGAGCTTGGTGATAGTTTCAAGGCCTATTGAGAGATTGTCTTGCTTGATGCCTTATCCGATTTGAAGATGATTCAATACACTGGACTTTACTTTGTACTTGTAGACAATTACTTCTTTGCAAAATGATATCTTCAAATAAATATTGGCGTGATATTGCGAAACCGTCAACGCTGCGGCATCCCGGCGGTAAGCCTGCGGGATGCCGTCGGGATGCCGCCGGCTGATAACGATCCGACGGTCCCTCCTTATCACCGCCGGCGCCATCTCATCTTATCATGTCTTCCAATAGGTTAACCCAATTCAGCACGCCATTATCGTCGCCATGGTATCTTCAACACCATACAGATCTAGGCACATCGCTTATCAGGACATCAGTATTGCTTTGGCAGGGAGGTAGTATATAGACTGTAGCATTGTTCGATACCATCATGTTAGAAACCACAAGAGTTTTGGATTTGCAAGTTAACTCCTCGTTACAATGAGTTCCTTTTCTGAAAAGAGTCACCCGGTGCAGTCTAAGACTTCGGAACACGATGGCGATGTTATTCAGGACGAAGCTATCCATGTTCCGGGCTATGATCCTACCCTTACCATTGAGTCTGGAGAAACCAGGAGAGCTTTACTCAAAGTTGACTTCTTCATCTTGCCTTTTATCGTTCTTTGTTTCTGCTTCCTACAATTCGATCGTACCAACATCGGCAATGCTCTAACCGACACCCTTCGAACGGACATCAACATCGATAACTCAGACATCAACCTTGCACAAACTCTCTTCACAGTTGGCTTTATCATTACAGAGCTACCCTTCAACATGATCAGCAAGTACATCGGCCCTGAACGATTCCTGCCAATCACCATGTTCCTCTGGGGTATTGCTACCTGGTCTCAAATCTTCTTGAAGAACGCACACGGTTTATGCGCTGCTCGATTCTTTATCGGTGCTCTTGAGGGTGGTTACATCCCCGGTTTTGCTCTTTACATCTCGCGATACTATACAAACCAAGAGCTTGCTTTGAGGTATGCCATCTTCTGGGCATCAAACAGCTTTGCTGGTGCTCTTGGTGGGCCTTTGTCTATTGGTCTTCTTTCCCTTCGTGGCCGAGGTGGTCTTCATGGCTGGCAGTGGTTGTTCCTCATTGGTAAGTCTATAAGCTGTGCATGAAAGATTAGTACTAACGATGTACAGAGGGTGTTTTAACCTGCTTCCTCGGAGTTCTCGCATACCTATACTTCCCTCACAATGCCGCCAAGCCGAAGTCCTTCTTTGGCAAATCATTCAACATCTTTACCGAGCGTGAGGCCTCTACCATCGTCACCCGTGTCATCCGCAATGATCCTACCAAAGCCCTCCGATACGGTCAACCAGTTCTACTGTCACACATTGTCGATACTTTCACTGACTGGAGATTATACGGTCATCTCGTCGCTGGTCTTCTCTCCATGGTTATGATCTCTCCTATGAACACATACGCGCCTTCCATCATCAAGTCTCTCGGCTTTACCTCCCTTCAGGCCAACGGTCTCAACTCTGTTGGCTCTGTCTGTGCCTTGATTTGGTCAGTCACGTTGGCATTCAGCAGCGATCACTTCCGCGAGCGCGGGCTTCACATTGCCCTTGGCTACCTCTGGGGAGCTGCTGGTCTACTTTGGCTAGCCCTTGCACCAAATGGTGTATCAAAATGGACTTTGTACGGTGGAGTGGTCTGGACACAGATGGGAATGGGCTGTGTCCAAGCCATCAGTGCTGCATGGCTCACAACTAAGATGCAGGATTACAAGAGACCTATTGCCCTGGCTGCTTATGTGATGAGTATCCAGCTTGCCAACTTTCCTGGTAACCAACTCTTCAGAACCCAAGGTATACACAAACCCCATTTTGCATAAGTTCTTGGCTAACTGTGACTAGATGCTCCTAGGTATACTCGCGGACTGAGTATTGCTGCCGGCTGTGCCATTGCTGCCGCCGTTGTTATTCTGGTCTGGAAGTTGCTGTACCGACTCTTTGATAATGGGGATGCTGGTGTTGAGGCAAAATTTCAGGTCGTTTCAGATGAGGCTAGAAGTGAGATTTAAAACATCGTTAGCAATGTTGTAGTATGATTGGTCTAGGCAACACAGTTTGGGATACATCGAGAATTCAGCAGATTTGATTACCCTTATGACTATTTTTATTCATTCTTCTGTGACTTCCAGCTTTACTTTCTATATCCATTCCCTACTCTTCCTCATCAACTTCCATGGAAAACTTCAGGTTATGGATTTCCGCCGTCTTCCGCCATTCCTTCTCACTCTCCTCAGAGATCTTGGCACCTCCTCCTCCTGAGAGTCTCAAAATCGGCTCGTCAGGGTCGTTGGGATATTCGGTGCAGAAAACGAGGGTCGTGGACCAAGAGTCTTTCAGCTCTATGGAGAGATATTCCGCCTTGGGCATGCATGATACACATCGCGCAGCCGCGGCATAATATTTATTCGCCACATCGTCAACGGGATACATAGGATGCCAGTTATCTGGTGATCGCCATACGTTGCGGACGACAAGCCGCTTCCCTGAGGGCGACATGTCAGATGGTGTGAGTTCGAAAGCCTTGAGACTTGGCCAGTGAGGTTCTTTGGTTGTATCTGACTCGGATGGCCAGAATATAGTAGGCTCGATGCTACCCCCAAAAGAGAAATCTTTCAGGCCTTCTCTTTGCGAGAATTTGCATAGCTCTCGACTCAAAATGTCGTCTTCTGTCGGCTCAAGAGACATGGCATCCCACAGCAAGCGCGGATTAACATAGTAATCGAGGTCGAACTGATGGATGGACGAAGGCAAATCATTCAATGATAGTGCGAGCTCTAGCAAGTTTTATTGTGAGAAATTGTCACTATCTGAAGTAGAGTAGCGTTGAACTTACCATTTCTCTCTTTTAACACATTCTTCGGTCCTCTCTCGGACATCAGGCGTAGAGTAAGCAATCCCAGACGCGACATCATACCCACTATCAAGCAAAAAGAGCGCGGGGAGTAGAAAAAGCGATCAAACCCGCGGGCGAGGTAGAAATGTCGTATCATGGGCAATTCCGGGAGACATGGATTCAACTTCTCAAAATTGTCCTCGACGTGATCTTCCAGTTTACTGAGATAACTAGGGCCTCTTGGAGCCCAGGGTATGGTGACGTTAAATTCTACTAATGGCTCCTCTTGCAAAGGTATTTGAGCGAGCAGCCGAAGAAGAGGCATAAAACCCGTGTCAATTTCGGGCCCTACCGTTGGAGGATGTTCTTCATCTGGTGGTGGAAACGAGTAATCCAGCCGGCGGAGATATGAAAGACGTCTGGGGGTGAGAATTTTGTTCTCGATTGCATACAAGACCGATTCTGAGTTCAATTTGAGCTCACGGAAAGATGCCTCTTCAATGAGAGGCTGCCATCGGCGAGATAGTACTGCTAAAGGTGCCAGACAGCGGATTGGAGGTCTAGTTTCGTCCCAGAATTTAGCTGGCGAGAAGTACTCATCTGGCACAAGGTTTTCTATGATATGGGATATGATCTCTGGTGCTAGCCGGTCCATTTTGGTGGTGTTGCAATGCGTGAGGGAGAAGGGTGATAATCATGATGGATTCAAAAGACAGAAATTGATCGCGGAACGGAGCGGAAAATATCCGTGTGTCAGTCGTTGGCTGCTGCCTGTTACACGACCATCTTCGTGCATTGACAATTTACGATTCCTCTTGGTGAAGTAATTGCAAGTACTTAATAGCTTCATATTATTCTCTAAATATTACTAGACAGACGCGTCTGTATCTGAATGAACCTGAGCCCATTCCGGCCAAGACTCCAACCCGCCATCCGCATCAAACATCTCTGAACCTATAAAACTCGGATACAAGAAAGAAAGGTCAGGTGGTAGTAGTAACTCTTCGGGATTATAATCAGCACCAGAATTCTCAGATAGTGCCCCGGAAACAAGAGGCGTTGATGGTTGGAACCCTGGTCGAAGCTTTTGGAACTGTGCATGGACAATATCGCCGAGAATATGCGCAGCGTGACAAGGCAACCCAATGGTCTTGAACCAGTTTATAAGCTTGAATACTATATTATCCAATTCGGTGGTGTCATAATTAGCTGCTCGCAGTTTGGACTCGTATGTGTGAACGATTTGGCAGAGCGTCAGTGCAGAGAAGCTGAGGATGTGATAAATGTGATCGGTTAAATGGCGAGTCCGATCGTCGGTTGTGTCGATGGCTAGATTGATGATGACTTTTGAATGCTTAATCATTTCTTTGAGGACGGAACTGTGCATAACTGATTTGGGTGATTTGAGGGACTGGCAATGAGCCAAAAGGTGAGCAAAGTGAAAGCCCATCTGTAGAAATTGTGATCTGGGCTCGTCTGGATCATGTCAACATTAATACCTTACGACCTCGAGGATAGACTTACGAAAAAGAACCATCCATTCCTGCTGCCACGTTTGCAGAGCAAGTTTCGTTCCAGCAAGGTCAGCCTGAGCAATTCCACATTTGTTGTAGATGATCCAGTAGAGCTGAACTTCTGCTCCCATCCTCGCCTCGTAGTTGCTCACTTCATTACACTTGACGAAATTGACGCATTGGTCGACTTGTGCTTGGGTCAGCAGTGAATGCCTGCGAGTTCCGACGCAGTACCTGTCATAACGTCAGCGAATATCTCATGAGAGGACTCTTGAGCATACTGAAGATGTGCAACACATAGGTGATTCCATAAACACCAAGCATCCAGCGAATCATCGATATGCTGAGACGAGCCGGGGCGGATAATTTCCATGAAGTGAGGGCTCGCGAGCGCTTGCTGTATCGCATATCCTGTGAGTAGCCAGCTGTCTATGCTCAAAGGAACTTGGCCTATAGTCGTCGACCAGAGGCTTAGTATAAGTACGGCTTGGAAGAACTCTAAAGTCTGCGGTACTTCCAGTAAGGATGTTGTGATGAGGCGCTTCGATTCTTCAAAAAGCCTGGGAGCGAGCCGATCTGCCAGACTCTGACTTGTGTGCCGGACAGATATCAAGAAGATACTGCAAAGAAGTAAGGGGGACTTGCGTATTTGTGAGAGGAGCCTGTCTGTTGGGATGTCTTCTGGAAATCTGACCCATCTGCCGTAGTGAACATGGAATCTGAAACATGTCAGTTGTTCATCATTTAACTAAGAATGGTGATAGCTTACAGTCCTAATAGTGAGTGAGCTGTTTGTAGCGAGACTAGTCCTGTTGATAAAACATCTGATTGAGGTCCTGTTTGCGTTATTGCTTGCTCGGGAGAGTGAACTCCTGCATCAGTTGCAGCATCACGTATCAAAAACACCGGAGCCGGGTCGAGTTCTGCAGATGGTACTGGTACTTCCACAACAGAAGCTCTATTCTGATTAGACGAGCCAGCAATTTCATCCAGTTTCGAGTCAAGTTTGTCGACTAAAGCGATGACTGTTCGCTCGAGCCTTTCTAACCTATACGAACCGTTAATGATAACTCATCGTATCCACGATTGTACAAACCTATCATCAACTGAACTCCTCCGACCTCTAACAACCGAGTCTGTGCGTGTAACGTCTATTTGTTCATGTATAGGTGGTGAAATCGAGCGTCGATGGCCGTGAAAGTCCAATGAGCATCGTTGAGATAAGGTCTTGCAACGCAAACAGGTTCCATTTGAGCTGCCGGAAGCGTAACAGCGAGTTTTGTATTTGCGGCAAAGATCACATGCTTTTGAAGCTCTACCAGATCGTACAGGAGGCATTTCAATGGTTAGGGATCTGCATGCAGAAACAAATGATGGGTATAGGTAGATAAGGAGTTCAATGGTCTATCGTGCCTTATCAGTAGATATGGCGTGCTAGATCGATCACGTGGAAGCTACGGAGATATAAGTGACATTTCGATAGCAACCTCACGAAGTCGGGAAGCAATGTATCAAAAGATTTATTTTGATGCTCTGGAATCCTCTATGTTCGTCAGGATGTATGCTTGTAGATTATGAGAGTGGTTGAAAGCTTGGCAGTTGGTTACATCGTTCAGCTGGCTGAGTCAAGGGGAAGACAGCGTGAAGAACCACACAGTTCTGGAGCCAAGGTCAATTAGAAAACAGAACTTATAGGACCGTGATAAAAGAGTATGAAACGTGATCAGTCCCCTCATTATTTTCTTGAATAAGGTATGCCAATTACAGATTCTTTTGACTCTGGTCTCAAGCAGTTATACCAGAGTCTAGGGTGGCTCAAGGTGGATAAGGTGAAGCAAGGCGAGCAAACAGCCGAAGATCAGCCACGGCCAGCACCCCACTACGGGTACCTTTAAATTTTGCGCGGATCGCGTTCCTCCTCTTCTTCTTTTTCTTTTCTCCTTATGACCCTCTTCATTCAAGAAACCGTAAGTCCTCACCGCAAACAAATACTTGCATTAGACAAATTGCTAACATTTTCCTCGCAGATGATGAGAACCGCGTGTTTAATATGATGCAGTGCCTCCTCCCCGGACCTCGAAACCCTCTGCCTCTCGGGGCAGCTTAAGCGGTTTCGTGGCGAGGTGAGGTTGGTACCATGAAATGGGCGTTCGACACAGACCTTGTTACAAGCATCGGACGCGATGGAAAAAAGCTCTGACCTATCATGAATGAAAGAGAGGATTCTTATATTGGTTTGTGCGGCTGGGACAACTCGGTGTGCAGAAATTGGGCCGTTCAGACAGGTAGGTTTTCTTTTTCTGCGTGAGGGAACTGGGGAGTGAGCCTCAAGTGAGGTTTCGCGTATATATGCGTACTAGGAATTGAATTGAATTTTGTGTCTTGTTTGTAACGACAAACCTTGTGCTCCGCGACCTGCTGTTTTTGATAGAGTGAATGTGCCGTCCCTTGTCTAGAGCTGTATCAGGTGAAATGAGTTTTGGTGAGACGTGAAGAAGCGAAGAGATTATCGCACAAGCAACCAAACACGCATGCAAACGGCCACACGTAGACTGTGTTTGTGCTACTTCAATGCCCAACGATGCCTCAATTTGTATTCCCCTCAGACAAGAAAGTCCCCAGATTTCTTCAACCTCATGGAACATCACCATCTCTGCAGTGGAGCTATCTTGGCGCAATCAAGTCCCTCTGAAATGAAAAAGACAAAAGAATCCATGGTGACGACATCAGTAGCGTCCCCTGGAATTACAGTGGGAGAGTAGCGCCCGCCCCGTATCGGAGTCAACAACCTTTCCGGAGGACACGAGTTTGGCGGGTACATCGTGAGACGGCCTAATGTGACCGGGCTGTGCAGGTACCTCTCTATCATCCGCGTCTCTCAGAATCTCCACCTTCTTGTCCTACAACCACCAAAGCCCAACCTCAAGTCAACGCCAACCCGAACAGCACACACCCCTCCCCTTGTCCTGCCACGCCCCAGAATCGTCCACGTCCCCCGGCGCGGATGCGGACACTCTCTCGTTGTCTCTCTCGGTCAATCTCTCTTTCTTCGTCCAAGACCCTTCAAGATCTCTATTTGCGCTGGTCACTTTGAAGCGACCCGACTCGCTCGACTCGCTCGTCTTCTGCAGCAGCAGCTCTTATCGTCATCCTCGCCTCGAGTCCCTCCCGGATCCCCGGCCATCCTCATCTGTCACCGTACCCCGTCGCTCGTTGCAACGTCCGTCGTCTGAAGTTTTTGTCCCTCCATCGCCCGGCGATTATAAGCTCGATATAGCTCCCGAGCTTCTATTGGAATCATGTCAAGCTCCTTCGAAAAGTCCGTCAAGGGCGCAACGAAGATCAAGGTACGTGTGCAGTCTTGGCGGCGCGCTCTTGATGAGCCTAATATCAGCGGCAATCATGAGCCCGACCAATTTTCCTCGACGGGCGCTGCTTCTCACGATTCGACTTGGTACTGATCTTGGATGCTACAGAATGCTCCCCCAAAAACGAAATACATCGAACACATTCTCGTAGCTACCCATTCCGGCGAAGCTGGTGTCGGCGAGGTCTTTCGCGCTCTCACATACCGTCTCCGCGATTCAACATGGACCGTCGTCTTCAAAAGTCTAATTACTGTTCACCTGATGATCAGAGAGGGATCTCCTGATGTCACGCTCGCCTTCCTCTCGACGCATCGCAATGTGCTAGCCATTAGCAGCTTTACAGACGGTACGTTCCACGCAGGCCGAAAGATATCTGGGCATGGGCATTGACAGATTGGCAGCACAAATCCAAGGACGAAACATTCGACATTATGCCCACTATCTAGCTGAGAGAGCTCGCGCATACGAAAAGACCAAGACGGATTGGGTGCGCGCTTCTGAGTCAAGACTTGAGAAGCTTTCGGTTGAGAAGGGATTGTTAAGGGAGACGGAAATCGTACAACACCAGCTCGAGGCTTTACTAAAATGCGACGTAAGTTAGGACCATAACGGGAGAGAGAATCTCAAGTACTGACGATCCCAGGTGATGGAGAACGAGCCAGAGAACGAAATCACCATAACCGTTTTCCGGCTGCTTGTCTTGGATCTATTGGCACTATTTCAGGTTCTCAACCAAGGGCTCATCAGCATTCTCGGTATGGCTGCCCCTCCCCCTCTGTCTCAGCCCGCCACTTTGACTAACGTTTCACCCCCTTCAGGAAACTTTTTCGAGATGTCAAAGGTGGATGCCGAACGTGCTATGGCCATTTATCGGAGATTCACGAAGCAAACAGACTACGTCGTTCAATATCTGAGCGTAGCTCGTCAGCACGAACACCACACCCGAGTCGAGGTGCCCAAGCTCAAGCACGCTCCTGTCAACCTTGGACGCCAGCTGGAGGAGTATCTTCACGATCCCGATTTTGAGGTCCACCGAAGGCAATACCTGGCCGAGCAGGCTGTGAAGAAGATTGGCGGAGGTTCAAGCTCGAAGCAAGGAGGTCTCAGCAAGAAGAAGAGCACCGATTTCCCCGAACCAGCGAGCAACAACCCCTTTCCCAAGATCACGGCCTCTTCGAGTGGGAACAGGGCACCCGAGTCGAAACCACAAGCTAACAAGGGCCCTGATCCCGATCTGATCGACTTCTTTGACTCTATCGAGCAGAATCAGACACCGATGAGCATGAACCCTCAGCCTCAACAACAGGCTTTCCAGCAGCAGCCGACAGGCATGCCGTTTCAACAGAACGGATTCGCCCCTCAGCCTACTGGATTTGCCTCCAACAGTCCATTCCAACAACCTCAGCAGACTGGGTTCATGCAGCCGCAGCAACCTCAGATGCAGCAACCCCATATCCAACTACAGCCCGATTTTACCGGAGCCGGTTTCGGAGGCTTCACTCCTCAACCACAAGCCTTCCAACCAAGCTCGCTCGCACCCATTCCTCAGGATTCAATGGCCAGTTTTACTAATGCTGCCCCTCAAATCCAACAACCTGTTCAGAACGGATCACCTCAGGGCCTCCAACCAATGCAAACAGGAAGCACCAACCCCTTCCGCCAGTCTATGCTCATGGCTCAACAAACAGGCCTTCCATCATCTGCTACAACACCCGCTCTAAACCGCCAATCTACAAACCCATTCGCTCGAACATCACCACAGCAAAACACCTCTCCTTTCGCCCAAGCTTCAAACTCGCCTTTCCAATCACCATCTCCTCAACAGCCACAGCAACAACCTGCTCTCCAACCTACACCAACCGGCACAAACCCCTTTGCACGCAACTCCACGATGCCAGCGCCAAACCAAGAACAGCGTCCGCAAACAGCGGGTGCTGCTCTCGCCCCTCAACCAACCGGTACTACCAACCCCTTCCGAAACGGCGCCTTTGTCAATCACAACACAGGCATGGGATGGCAAGCCAACCAGCAGCCCATCGGAGGAGGCCTCGACCAACTTCCGACAGTACCTGTATTCCCTCGACCTGCTCAACAGACACCGTGGCAGCAATAAGATTATCGAAGCAGCCGGTTCAAACAACAAACCATCTTATCTTACAAGCTCAAATCAAGACATAATTCGCATCGCGTTTTCAACAGCGCCCTTTTGTTTCCGTTTCTTGGCTGTAATGGCCTCCCTTTCCATATAGTAAGCGAGGCGTTTTCGGGGGATGAGATTCGAAAAGAGGATTGCAAGGCCACAGGATGAGCACACAGAAGGATTCAGTATCCTTCTGAAATTGCCTTTCAATCCTCTCCTGGTGATTTTTCCTTTTGGATTAGTATAGTAGCAGTCATACAAAAATACAATTATCATCAATTATTCCTTTCTGTGTATTCTCTGTGTCTGGTGTATGTTCTCTGTAGCCATGGTATCGTGTCATTTTTACCATCTTCAAAACTCCAGTGCCCTTATATCCCTTAGTGTTTTCCCAAGCGCCCAAACTCCATAGCTATGCCCGTTTAAACATCGAAAATCATCTACTAGAACGGATCATCGACGTCCATTCTACCCCCCGTATCTCCCGTCACAGCAGCTTCTTTCGCTCCCGATGTAGCAACACTCTTCTCAACCTTCTCCTCATCCACAAACACTCCCAGCCCTGAAAAAGCCTCGAACAATGCTCGTGTGAGATACTCATCAGGACTGTACCCTCCGGCCTTGAACTCGGGCTTCGTCCTTGTGATCTCGACCCACTCATTGCTATACGTTGCCAGTTTCTCCGGCGCGAGGTCCACGCGCTCCGGCATGACGCGCACGCCGCCGTACGGATCGTAGGGCTTGTTCTCCACAACGACTGCCTTCTTCTCGCGCAGTCCTCTGATAGAGAGACCGCTGCTTCCTGCGGCGCCGAGTGCTGCGTCTCGCTTGTTGTGTCCTCGTTTCTTGAGCATGATCTTGTCCATCGCTTCAGTCGCGCGGCCCGTTTCGGCACTTTGGAGAGAGTCGAGCATTTCCTCGCGGAAGCGCTTGGCGTTGGCCTTCTCCTCGAGCTCTTCTTGTCGTTCCCGCAATCGTCGCTGTCGAGCTTCTTCCTCCTCTGCTGCGATACGACGTTGACGAGCATCGTCTGTTTCACGCGCAAGACGCCTGTTGCGCTCAATGTCGGCCTTATGCTTCGCCTCCCACTCGCCAAGCTGCGCCTCAGCCTTCCTCCTCTGCTCATCAGTGCCATAGACGAGATCACACGTCAAACACTCCACCATCTCCAGGTACTCATTATAATCATCCAGCGTCTCAAAGTCTTCCTCAACCTTGTTAAACACCGCCGCCACTCGTCTCCGAATATCGACTTCACGCTCCACAGCAAGATCCGCGAAGAAGGCAGTCTTGAAACCACGAAGACGAAGGGTTTTGTGGCAGCCGGCGTAGGGACATTGGTTGGGCCCGTCTTTGAAGATTCGCTCGACACAGGTCTTGCACATGCGGTGGTAGCACTCTGGATTGATGCGGAATTCCATGTCGCGGTTGAAGTAGCGTGTTGTCTTGCATACGGGACATGTCTCGTCTTGGTCTGGCGGTGGAGGCGCGTTGAGATCTGTGGCGTGGCGTATTGAGACGCCTGCGCGAGACATTTTGGCTGGCGAGTGCACTAGCTGTGCGGTTGAGTAGAGGGGTGAGGTTGTGAAGAGGAGAAGAGGAACGAACCAGCTTTGTTGTGGTGAAGAAGTGATTAATCACTGGCTACCTTATCAAATGTTGGTTCTGCGCGGCTGACGAGACAGGGATTACGGGCTTGACGGCGAGTTCCCCATTGGTCAAAGCTCGGAACAATGTGGCCCCACCTGTAGCTGCCCCTCCATGAATTGTCAGCCTTCTCTCATAACCAACAGCTTCCATCGATTTCTCCCCTCAGAACATATCACCACCGCTTCAAAAACATCACCATGGCTGATAACGGTGAGTACCATTCTAGTCACTCATTCCATGAGTGGATATCAACAAATTCATCGTTATTTATAAGCTTCACATATACTGACTCGCACAGAACCTACACCCGCTGAGACCGCCGCTGCTAACGCAAAGGAGGCCGAGGAGCAGGCTGCCCTTCCCTACAAGTGGACTCAGACCATCTCAGAACTCGACGTCACCTTCAATGTACCCGGAAACCTCAAGTCGAGGGATCTCGTCATTACTATCAAGAAGCAGAGCCTACAGGCGGGTATCAAGGGCCAGGATCCAATCATCCAGGTATACACAACAAACTCAAGCCACATCTCATACACCAACTAACCCACAGCAGGGCGACCTCCCCCACGCCGTTCATGTTGACGACTCTACATGGACACTCAGCACCAACTCAGACGGCACCAAGACAGTTGAGATCCACCTCGACAAGGTGAACAAGATGGAATGGTGGGCGCACGTCGTCACGTCCGCTCCCAAGATCGACGTGACCAAGATCCAGCCCGACAACTCTAAGCTCTCAGATCTCGACGGCGAGACCCGCGGTATGGTCGAGAAGATGATGTTCGACCAGCAGCAGAAGGAGAAGGGCCTTCCTAGCTCAGACGAGCAGAAGAAGGCAGATATCCTCAAGAAGTTCCAGGAGCAGCATCCCGAGATGGACTTTAGCAAGGCCAAGATCCAGTAAAAAGTACATATGACGAGTCCCCCGTTGAAGAATTAAAAAAAAAAAAGACGTTTCAATTCATCACTTGTTATACTTTTTTTCATCTTGTTTCTAGAGCAATTGCTGCACGCTCGAGAAAGGCGTTGAAGTTTTTCACTTGTTGGAGCATACCGCCTGCGGAGCTCGATGAGCTGGCTTCGTCTGTGATGCGTGCGACGAGCAGCTCGAGGTTAGCCAGATCGGCCTTTTTCTCTTGGGCGCGTGAGAGTTCAGGGGCGTCTCGTCCCCGTTCGACTGCCATGTCTATGTCATGCATTGTAGCTGAGGTGTCTAGCCGGTACTACAATTGTTAGCGGAGCTTGCAGTAGAGGAAAGTATCAAGTAGCTCACTTTTGACTCTTTGGTGTCCTCTTCGTGCTTGATGCGTACAGCATCCATCTTGAGCGCGACTTGTTCCCTCTCTGCTTTGAGACGTAAGATCTCTTCTCGCAGGGAGAGCTTCTCTCGCTGTACCAGACGAACACGCTTACGTAGTGATTGCCAGTCCATGAGGTGAATTGACTAACTCGTCAGTCCCAATGCTTCCCGCACAGGGCGAAAACAACTTACCAATTGTAATAATCGAGACGTAAGCTCCTCCTTGTACGCCTCAAGTGCCCGTATCTTGATCCGACATTCTTTCTTCTTATCTTTCTCCTCGGTATTCTGTAGCGTCTCAAAGAGCTTAGCAACTGTACCATCAATGACTTCTAAGCAGGCTTGTGCGAAGACATCCACCGCTGTCACCCCAGTTGTTGTAAAAGGCAGATCTGCCGCAAGGTGATCTTCTTCTTCATCGTCGCCCTTGATGAACTTCTTGACATTGACGAAACGCTGAACTGTGACCTCAATAGCGGAACCATCACTGACTCTGCGCTCTTTGGCGGCTTGTTTCGTCCTACGGATTTGTTTCGGTAGTGGCTTTTCTTGTGTTGTTCGTGCTTTCGATTTCGTAGGCTTTGGTTTGGGAGCTGGTTGTTTCTGTGTCGCAGGGCTTCTTGATGGTCGTCCACGGCGTCGTTTCGCTGCTGGTTCTTCCGCTTCCCCTTCTTCAGCTTGTTCGTCGGGCTCAGCGACTGGCGATTGAGATGGTAGACTTCTTCGAGGCCGTTTTCGTCCAATTGTCTTGGCCGCTTCGACTGCATCGATAGCTTCCGCTGCCTCTTCTTCCTCCTGTGGTTCCTCCTCTACTGCGGGCTCTTCTTCAGCTTCATCGACTTCAGGTTCTGCTACTTCCGTAGCATCGTCCGATCGCTCATCATCCGCAGGGGCGTGATCTGCTCGATTTGGCGAAAGCTCATCTTCTTCATCTTGCTCAGCAAGCCTCGAAGGCCGCCTTTGTGATAGTCTCGATCGAATTACGGCGGGACCTTCACTCCGTCGCACCTTGCGCACCAGCGGTGATGAGGAGGGCGGCGCATCGTCCTCTTGTAGCGTCGTATGTAATCGTGTCGTCGACGATATGGTCTCGCTCATGCGTACGTCCTGTCGCTTGTTCGCAACATCTTGTGCGATCTGTTCCAGTGACCTGCGGCTCGTCCGTCGTTGCGACGGTTGTTCGGAAGATTCATTACTCGGCAGCACCGGTAACTCAACATCAGCTTCGTTCTCGTCTGGCGCTTCGACTTCTGGGCTCGGTAATTCAGGTTCTGACTGTGGCGCTGATTCGATCTCTTCCTCCTCCACGGGTTCTGCTTCCGGCTCCTCTACAAGATCAGGACTCGGCGCCTCCTCCTCTCGCGATTCACCTGTCGTATCCTGCGCGCCAGATTCCTTAGATGTTTCTGGCAAATCGTAGGGGTCACTCAATCGAGGCGATCGTCTCCGTGCGCTTCCTTGCGCCTGTGCAGACGGCGGCGGTTCGTTATCCAATCTTCTCCTCTTAGCAGAAGTATTTGGTGTTCGGCGTTCCGACGATGTAGGTGGTGCTGGTGCAGGTGCAGCGGGAGTCGAGCCAGCTATGTTAAGGCCAGCGATGTCGAGATTGAAGGAGTCATCTTCGATGTTGGCACGCCTTGAGTCGCATTAGCAAAGACACTTTGGGGCTTGTGTAGATTTATTCGTACTGGGCACCTCGTAGACGCTCGTTCAGCCGGTCAGCGCGGCGCTGTTGGCCTATTTATTGTGTTAGCGACTTGATCTACTGCTTGATTATGGGATTTGCTGTTGACATACCTGTGGCCATTGTGGGGGAAAAGAGCACCTATATCTTTCTCTGCGCATCCAATGTTATTCAGGGTAAGTGTTTCTGTTGAATGCGCTGGTAGTTTTGTAATTGGGCGTTTTTAATTGTGATGTTGATGGAGCAATGTTTGGATATGCTTGTGACGCGTGGGGTGAGACGCGTTCTAAAGCCGCGGGGCATCGAAGCAATTAATTGACTGACTGATGGGCCAAATTGACCGATCAATGACCGACCAATGACCATCTGCAACACAAGGATAGAATATGATATTACATAGTATTTCCTTATGTTTTGCGTGGATTATAAATTTGTAAAATCTACATAATTCCTCCCATCATAACCCTGGGGATTTCTGGTAACAACCAAGTAAACAGAGAACCCGAGACTTTTATAAGACGGCCAGCCGTCATCAGCTGGGTATCATTAGTATTCTATATCCCTTTCCTGCTCGACAGAGCTGAACGCCTTTCAAACATGCCTCAGTCTCATGTACACAATAACAGCAGAGATCTAGTTCATAGGAATCCACTGCATCTTTTCTGTGTCGAATCGGTGACTAATCCCTTGTCAGTTCTCATGGACACGCATATACGTTGCATTGGAAGATCGTACTCATGGTAATCAGTCCTCGACAATGCTCCCTTGCCGTATTCCGAGGTCAGGATCTCCCTGTACCTGTACGGAATCTTGGCTTGAACACCTTCAAAGGTGGTGTCTAACAGAGGAAAGATGTACTTGTCCTATCGCAGGAAGCTTTAGCACAAGGCAACGATCATTGCCATATATACGGTACGCACCTTGAACTCGTGGTCATGCTTATCATACATAACACCATCGCCCATCTCATGGCCGGGGTCATACCTCGCCGCAGTGATGTCAATGAACAGGCCATTCTGCATATCGATCCACCTTGCATCAATGAAGTTCATGTAATCATCCCTCTCGCGATATTTATGATACGGGTTTATCTCCAGCTGAAAGAAGCAACCCTCCGGACACGCATCGTACTGGTAGTAGTAGATGGTCATGTTGTGATAGGCAGCGAGGAAATACATGTCTGCCTCAGTGACTGAGACATCAGCGTCTAGGTCCCATGGCATGACCTGAGAAATCCTTTCGGTTAGAGAATGGGTCTAGACATGTGAAGTTATGGATATCCGTTATTCTCACCTTCTTTCCCCACCACCAGCCGAGAAGGGAGCCATGCATTAACCAGGTCTGGACTCCCAGATCTCGAAATGTGGCTAGGTATGTCTGCATGAGGACTTTGATGCCTGCATTCTGAAGCTGTGGCTCGAGGGCTTCCTCAAAATATCTCGAATCATAGTGGGGATACTGTCTGAGCGAGTGAGCCCTTGTTAGTTTTCTGTACGGCGTTGTGTTGGCTGTTGGTTGGTAACTCACGATGCTTCCCCTGCAAGTTTCGTTAGTCAAAGACTTTCTCATTTAGGATACAATGACCAATTCCATTGGACAAAAGGTGAACTTACTAAAGTATTTCGGTGGAGGAGCGTCTCTGGTGGGAAGTTTCTGTTCAATCTTTTGCAGGACATCGGGGACTGCAAAGGCACTAGCGCTGGTGATCCAACCAAGGGCAACGGCAAAGAATGCCGATACTCTCATGTTATATCCGTTGCCTGGAAGACTAGACTAAACTGTCACTACACGTGGTCGTCAAGACTCAATGGTCAACGCGTATAGTCAGTCAGTTTAGGTTGGTTACGTGGACTGTGTGGTGATGTTTCTGGGGATCTGCAGGGGTAGAGGCTCGCTCGCTCGTAGGCTGGCTCGTAACTTGAAAGGGGGCGTGCGGCAATGACGTTGAGACTGAGAGCCAGTAAGAGACTACTTAGATCGAAGCATTACCTTGTGAACATTATCTTTATGAGAATATAATAAGATGTAGAGTGTGTGCTTGTTGGTGTTGAGAATGACTGGGTTAGATTACAGTCTGCACACACGACTCAGTGAGCGTACAGACAATTAATTGTTTGATGGCCCGTGGCTCCCACACATCCGACGCAAAGGTCCGCGTCACCAGCTCAAATCATATCGATAAGACAGACAGACAGTCTAGGTTGTCTCTATCTGTCAATGCATCGCAACAATTTATACGAATTATATCAATCTCTCTCCAGGCATTCATGAGGCGCATGTGTCCGGAAATGGATGTCGATGTGGCGGCTTAAAATGCATCTTCATGCCTCGTAAATTCTATTCAAGTCGCTGACTGACACTGACGCAAGCTCAAATGGTAAAGGCCCCCCAGGCACGTACATTTTAAGGTTGCCCAGCCTAGATCTAGACTGCCCCGTCTCCACCTCCTCCTCCGTCCATCGCATCGCCAAGCTGAAGCTCAGCTGCCTAAGCTCCCTCATCCTCAACCTCCACTAACCTCAGCCTTATACCCGGCTACTTGTCATCTTCAACCCCTCCCATCCAACCAGCAATTCCACCTCGCTTCTCGTATTCCCTTTTTCCTCTAGAGTCGCTCGCCGCAAACACACCAACAGTCGATACCTCCTTTTCCCGCCCTTGACAATGGGCGCGTGGAACGTACGTCTGCGAAACATCATGCATTAGCAAACCGACAAAACAAAACTGACAGCACCATAGCTCTTCCGTGTCCTGGGCGACTTGTCCCACGCCCTCTCCAAATGCATCCTCATCTTCGCTATCCATCGAAACAGGAGCGCTGAGGGTGTCTCCCTCATCACGCAGATCCTCTACGCCCTCGTCTTCTGCACACGTTACCTCGACCTCTTCATCGAGACCGTACCATGGAACATCGTGTTCAAGATCTTCTACATCATCTCGTCTATCTACATCCTTGCTATTATGCAATGGATCTATCCTCGATCGCGTGAGCGGGAGATTGCCTGGAAAATTGGCGCCATCATCCTTGGTGGCTCGTTTGTCCTGTCTCCGTTCGTCATGCTCATCTTTGAGAGCCACAAGGGTTTCCGACCTGTAGGCCACCGTTCCCCTGCAACTTTGAATATTGCTAACAACTTCTAGTGGATGTGGGTGTTCTCTCAGATTCTCGAGTCCGTCTGCGTTCTTCCCCAGCTTCTCCTCCTTCGGCAAACAACTGTTCCCACCGTTATCGATTCTTTCTATCTCGTCGCTCTCGGCTCCTACCGCGCCCTCTACTGCGTCAACTGGTTCATCCGTGAATTCGAGATCTCTGGCAAGAAGCCCAACACCGTCTCTGTCATCTTCGGCATCATCCAGACTGCCCTATACATCGACTTTGCTTGGGTCTACTACACTCGCCAGCGCGTCAAGCTTCGAGGCGGCGGCATTGTCGATGCCGACGATATGTCCCGTGGATGGCTCCTCCGCCGAATCTTCGGAAAGCGCTTCGAGAACAACGATGACGATGAGGAGAGTGGTCCTGGTGGATTTGAAGATGAGCAGGGTGGCCGACGAGGAGCTCGTCCCAAGTGGGGAGCTCGCGGTATTTCAGTCAGCGCCGATGACGGTGTTCTCGAGCAGGACCGACACAACCGTGACCAGGACGAGTTCGGTGGCCCAGTCGACCCTGACGCCAAGATGCAAGACCCAGATGAGCTTGCGCGAGCTCTCGACGATGATGACGATGAGCAAACGCCGCTACGACCAGGTCAAACAGAAGGCCAGCCCAGCGGTCTTCAAGGTGGCGAGGGTTGGCGCGACTAGGATATCAAGCTTCCACGCCAAACTACAGCTTACATCACTTTTACGAACGCGAGTATGAACTCGAACGGAGTATGACGGATTATTTATTTGGAATGTCTGGACAGGTCTACTACATTGCCATTTTAGTGCGACGTTTGATGGGATGTGGTCCATGGAACTGCGTTAGAAGAAGAGAGGCAGAGTGGTTCCGGTCTTGCTAGTTAGCCATGTTTCTAAGGGGTATTCATGGGTCAAATTTATGTACACATAGCGGAATTCTAACGACGCCAATCTCAGGACGAGATAAATTGGAATTCGGGCACTTTAAGATGATGCATGCATGTCACATTTGCGATTTGAATCAAAGAAGGGGTCGATGTGCGGATATCATTCAGGCAATAACCATGCCCATTCCTGCGCTCAAAAACCAGTGCAGTTGTGTTGAGACAAGCCCATCCCTTTCCACCATCGCCACCATGTCCTTCAAGGACAACTAACGAGCAGCTCCCAACAATTCGCGCCATCTGACAAGGAATCTTTCCAGTCCTGTCTTTTGCAACTCCCATCAGCAGCATCCCAAGCCGCGAGAATAAAACTCCGATAATAACAAAATACAAAAGCTAAACCGTAGCAAAGGGGAAAGAATAGGTCATATACTAGTAATAACATAAACGTCTTGAAACCATAGGGTATTTCCTTCAATGGATGAAGCGCTTCTCGAACTCTGCAAATAGCTTTGGGGTGATTTCATCGCTGCTCATGCCCTCAATCTCGACGAGCACGCCCTTCTGGGCGTAGTGGTTCAGAACAGGCTCGCTGGTCTCTTGGAACTTCTTGTATCGTGCTCTGTAAACCTCCTCCGAATCATCGGGGCGCTGGATCAATCGCTCGCCGGTGACGTCGTCGATTCCAGGGACTCGAGGCGCATTGAAGCTGGTGTTGTAGACTCGGCCGGAAGGCTCGTGGACCCAGCGTCCGAGGATTCGCTCCAGAATAACGGATACGGGGGTCTTGAGCGAGATTACGAGATTGATCGGAATGAGCTTGTCGAGAGGGCCGACTTGAGAAGCTGTTCGGGGGAAGCCGTCGAGGATGAACGAAGCAGAGGGGTCATTGGAGGCCTTGGAAGGACGGTGGCCATCGAGGAACGGAGCGTTGATGAACGGATCAGAAGCAGCGCTGTTGAAAGAAGCCTCCATCGCCGTCGCTTCAGAAGAAAGAGTCATGACATTCGGACCTCCGTTCTTGGCGAGCCATCCCCGGGTGAAGAATTCGTTGGAAATTAGTCGCAGAATAAGATCATCAGCAACAAGTCCGCCTGCCTTCATCGTATTCTCGACCTTGATGCCTGTCTCATTATTAGCATTCGCCCAAATGCTCCAATTGAGGGGGAAATCTACCGAGGGGTGTCCTCTCCTTGACATTTCGACGCAAGAGATCTCCGGTACTAATCTGATTGAGCTGAGGAAAGCGAGCGAGCAATCGCTCGCTCTGTGTCCCTTTACCAACGCCAGGTGCACCGAAGAGGATGACGCGAGCGGCCTTGTTCAGGTTCATTCTAGGCGACCTGTAACGATTGAGGCCGTCGCGAGTTGAAACAATTGAAAAACTTCTGACGTCGGAGCAAAAGAAGGGAAAGTTTGCGCTTCGGTGCGATGAGTAAAGAAAAAAAGTTGTAGGTGCGGATCCAAAATGTCGTTGGAGGTTTAATTTCTTGTTGAGGGTCGATGGGACGATACTTTCGGAGATGGCGCGGGGGGATTGTTGAGTTCGGAGGAAAAAAAGCAAGCACTAGCGGGAATAGTTAGTTGTATAATGAGGTTGAGGGAGAGGAAATAACGGAATAAGCAGCCTCGGGATTACAAAACAACAGTGAGCGATGGATTTGATTTATAGCCAAGAAAGAGGGAAAGACGAGATGCGTTGAGTTGAGTTGAGGTGGATGGGAGCAAGGTTGGAAGTGGGGGGGCTGCTTATGTAGTGTAGATAGGGCGAGGCAAAGCGCTGTTGGTGTTGAGTCCAAGTCGCAAGCGCGGTACTTGGCCCTGCGCCTGTAATTCAGTATCGATACAGGTACCGTTCACTGAAGATGGTGTGGACCGTGCGATGGAGGGTACGAACGGTCAGGGTGGGCAGGGACCAATACTCACAAGTTCAATCTTGATGGCGGAGTCTATAACCGTGGCTTGCCGTCTTTAACATCTACACTTTCAACGTTCTATTATGACTTTATGGAATATCGGCATGCATGGCTGAACCATTGCCGGGACATTTCGGACTCCGGATGATGTGGCATATGATGAATGGGGTGGTAAGAGAGTGAATCGGTGGTTGTGTTTTGCCTTAAGTCCGGTTCGGGCTTTGAGGTCGAAACAGAAAAACATGGGAAGGGGACGGTTAATTATCCCGCGTCATTTCGTGGTGTCATTTGTCGATCTGGGGAATAAAACGTGCACCTCCCTCTTGGCGCCGTTGATCCGATACATGCAGCATCTTCGCTCAAAGTCCGAGATCGCTGACCTCGGCAGCACGACCACTTCCTCCACTATAGTTAAGATGATATGGCATCTTTATATCCTCGAGAACAAAAAGAGTGAATCCTTGAGTCTCGTTTCGTTCTAGAGTGCACCCTAGAAACAGTTGGCGTTAACGGCATTCCAAGAATGATGATGCCTACCGTAGCACGTGTGTTCCCTGCTAACCAATCAAGCTTGTCAGATTTGGCTTTCCAAGAACCCCGGATTTTCCTAGGCGATGGACGGACACCTCGGCACACGGCATTACAAGCCACTGTGCATACCCGTGCAAGCGAGCGTGCCGTCATCGTGGTAACGTCCGCTTTAGGGTAGAACAAGCTTCGTGGACAAGAGTGATGAAGAGCAGAAAACCTCGACGCATTCTATTAGTAATATTTAGAGTAATTAGTCTAAAGTCTCCTAAATTTATCCTAAGATTGCCTAAAGTGATCCTAAGTTTACCTAAGCATTTTCTACATTCATTATCGTGGCCTCGAGTTTTGCCTCCGCGACAGTACGGTCATAACTCAATGTCCAGCTATAGTGTAACTTCGTACGTCTATCATCATTACGACTCTAATCTAATCTATTCAATATGGGAAAAAAAAAAAAGAAAAGACGAACAAAGAGGGATCATCCACGGCATTGACCCAAAACCGCTCAACCAACAAAGCGTCCCATGGTGGTCCTCCTTTCTGATGCTTGCTGAGGAGCCCCAAAGGCCAACTGGAGAATGGCTCATTCTCGATGAAGCTCATGCAATCAAAAACCGAGAGAGCCGCACATACCATTCCATCTCAACTCTCAGACTTTAGTTCGATAACTCTCTCATGATGACAGGCACACCACTGGACAACAAGTGGAATGAATGATGGTTATGCCCTTCTTAGTATGCTTCACGGCCATCCAATCACCAGCTTTATCCTCTTTCAGGCAGCTTTCGTCCAGCGCTAGCTTTTCCCGAGGCTTCCACACAGAGAGATGCATCCAGATGCTCGACGCCTGAAGCCTCCGTCCGCCACGGAGCGCAATTGAACAGGAGGTAGTCGAAAAGGCATCGTGACATTCCCTCTCGATCCAGAGGATCGAAGGCGGTCTGATGACGCCTAGCAAATGTTCAAGAAGACCAGAAGACCTGGTGGCAAGCTTGCGAGCTGGAAGTATCTTACCGGCCCAACAATATGTGTACCACCCTATGCTGTTTGAGCTCGAGCTTGAGGAAGCCCTAGCTAGGGCTACGCGCCGCAATGAGGCTATGAAAGCGTTTGAAGAAGGCAAACAAGCAGCGACAGACCAGCTCGTCAAGTGGAAGAAACAACTGGAGCAGGACGAGAACTAGCTCTCTCGTCGGGCAAGAGTCATCACGGACGTCATCGGCCAGCATAAATATCGATATCCCAACCATTCATTTTCGATCGTGGATAAAAGTAGACACTTCGTCATCAAGACGCCTTTCGAGGCCAAGCCTCCTCAAGTTATGCTTGCCACGAGGAACACAGGAGCATAGGGCCTCAATCTCCAGTGCCCGCGGTATGAGAGGCTTGAGCACGTCCTAAAGGGCACTGGGTTTCTTCCGTCCTAAATGCCCTAAATCCTTAGGTAAATTTAGGATAACTTAGGGTAATTTAGGAGAAATTTAGGATATTATTTGATGAGTTTATTTTCACCCTAGGCCGAGTGGGCGAGCGTGCCGTCGTCGCTACTACTATAGTTGCTCTACTCCTGGCGAGCATACTGAACATAAATCCTTCCCTGTGATGGAACACACCACCATATGAGTGACGAAATGTCTCAGCCCATCCACCTCGGTTATTTGAAGCCAGCTGAACTCGTTATAGGTGACTTCAATCTTGTTACTTGAGAGTCCCAGGGGCTCTGTCACCCCTTTGAGGTAGCGGAAGTTTCTCCATGGTCGGCACATATGAATCTCGACACGGAGGGCAGTCGACAGAGACACAATCTGGGCTACCTAAGCCCTGACATGCGGATAAGCCCCTTCATACTCCCCATGAGCCATCTGGGTCATTCTGTATCGGGGGAGAAGGCTTGCTTGAGGGAATGAGTCTCTGTGGAAAATATTGGCCTGGGCGCGGAGATAGGGTACTTGTGCTCAATTCAGGTTGAATTGAGCACGGACGAACTGCGAGAATAGCTTCATACTCTGGCTTGACGTAAAGAGGAACACGACTCTCTTGAAAACTTCTACCAGGTATTCCTGGCGCAGGCCAGAAACCTTGGTGATAGAGTGCGATAGGTAGGGTGGCAGTCCTGTCGCGTCGACAGGACATAAGAAAAGGCCATTGTGATCCTGCTTCCAGCCACGGGCTGTTGACTCGATTTCCACCATCTTGCCGTAGACGTTCATTCGAAGTTCAGGAATTAGAAGGGCGCCTTTCACAATTAGCAGGGACTCGCGCTCAGAAGCGGCCGGTGTGATGCCGACTTTGGGTGTGAGCTTGGGCTTCTTTCGAGGTGGCTGGAGAGATCTGTTAGTTTCCAAGGCATGAGATTAACGTGGAGAGAGAAAACTTGCCCTTCACCTTGGTGGCATGATGGTAGGCGGGCTGTTTAAGTTGCGTTTGTCGCGTCTGGTCTATACACAGGTCAGAGGAAATGATCGGTTGGCCACAGCGAGCGCCAGGGGCCCACGGGCTTCCAAAAATAGATTCAAATAAACCGTACGAATTAATTGATCAACTTACGAGCTCTTTCCTTGGATGCGATTGCAGTGGTGTCGCCGAGAGGGACATGGCAAGAGGGCTTGGTGTGTTGGCGGAAAATGAGGAGAAAAGTTTGAGGGAGAGAGAATAAGGTAGGTATCTCGAGGAGAATTCCAATGGCTACCTTGCTTAAGTACCTAGGTATGTCACTGAAAATGACCGTGAATCACGAACCATGGATTGAGGTAAAAAACCATTCACTGAGCCAACTTGAGTAAGTTACTCTATATAATAAGGCATCATATGGCTCAATCTCGAGCGCATCTCAAATGCATCTCAAGCGCTTTGAGAAGCAATTACATGGTATTTACAAGTGATCATAATTAGATCCGCAACGCCAAAAATAGATTGAACAGTGATGAGCAGTGAAATCAAGGAGAGGATCTCCCTGAGTAACAACATAGCCATCACGAAGAACGGTTAGAGACACTGTCACCAAAGGCCCGGACTTCTAATCCTAAATATTAAAAATGATTAGGTAAATTGATGATAATTTAGGGTAGTTTAGGATAAATTTAGGAGACTCTCTGAAGAGTGTACTTTTGTCCCCGAGGCGGAGCAAGCAAGCAAGCCGTCATGAAGAATGTGTCAGTGATGCTAGTCATCAAGACGAACAGCGCAGAGCCAAGGGAGCGTACCAACGATGAAGAAGTTACATATAGTACCTCTCAGGCCTTGGTGATAATAAAAAAACCGGAATTAAATCTGAGGTTGCGGGACGATAAGGCGGAGCGGCACGGCAGCGGTAAGTTGCGGTGCGGTGCGGGTGCGGCCTGTTGTCGTCAGGTAAAGGACTGCCAACGGGGCAAATTAAGCTTAATTTTGAGCTTCTTTATTATCAGGTTTACAGCCACTTCGTTGAACTCCCCCCATATGTACACCCTAGCATTCCATCATTGGTGATGACATTGTGAAACAGTCAATGGTGACTTTGATGCTCAGCAGTATAGAGAAACGACATGTTAAAAACAACGTCACTTTTCACAATTGCCGTGCATGGTTCCCGAATATCTCAATCGTGGGGTGTTGCACCCATACGAGATCAGCGGAATTACATCCCCATTGACTAACAAAACATCGGCATGTGGGCCACCAACCTCACGGCTAACATTCTCTATTCCTCCAGCAATAGGATCCTCACGCCTTGAAAGCTCCCGGATGTTATCCGACAAGTCAGTCTTGGCAGACGAGTACACCCACTACCGGTGACACCTCCATCGTACAAGCACCCAGACATTCGGTACAAGACGCACGCATGGTTCTGTTCTTGACCGTCATGGGATTTGCAAGTCTGCTAAAAGGGCCGAAAACTTATATGGGCTCCCCGCATGTTTAAACGGTTTAGAGCCTGCGCCGTCCCCAGATTATCCCCGCGTTGGACCTCTGCATCATGAGAATCACGGCGTTTTTAGTCATGGACCACCAGGTTTTTCATCGGGCTATATTCTTGGCATTACGGGGGTCGGCCTTCTCATCTGGTCTTCTCATTTGACAAACTGTATCGGAATGAGCTGCGATTGGGTCGGATTAGTGTCCATAGCTGGGTTTGTAAGGTCCGGAGTTGACTTGTAGCTCCCGGATGCTCAATGTTTTGTGCTGTGAGGTTAGACTGAGAGAAGCAAGGATTCAAAAGGTCGGTCCGAATCAAGTTGGTGATGATGGAGTTTGCGATGGCCAAGATGGCGAGAGTGTAAGTGAATGACCTCGGGTCTGCTAAAACTTCGGGATATGGAGAGATGTTGACGAAAAGTGAGTGTATATAAGATGAAGTGATCGACCGGAAGTTTGTATAGGACCAGCCAATCCACAGACTTGGACTTCTATTCATCTCTCTTCTATACCTTCACCATGTGGTCCAGTCTTCTCCTTCTGGGAGGCGTCTCTTTGAGCATAGCCAACCCAATCGTCCGACAAGATGCCAATCCTCCGTACAGAAACAAGACTCTATGTCTTGACAAGCGTGTTGATGACCTCATGTCCCGCATGTCCCTAGAGGACAAGGCAGGCCAGATGTTTCACGGCCGTACCGTGGTGGTCAACAATACCTTCGATGAGACCATCGAGGAATTCGTCATCGGCAAGCGTATCACTCACTACGTTCTCAGCGGCGGTGTCAATGATGTTCGAGGTGTCGCAAATTGGTATAATAAGCTACAGAGGCTGGCGATGAGCACACCCCTTGGTATCCCCAGTGAGTGCTACTGCTTTGATGATATTGTGACCCCTTCAACCCCTAAGCATACTGACGTCTTGTTAGTCACAATTAGCAGTGATCCACAGCACGGGTGGACAGACGAGAATGCTGTCTCCGTTGTAGCACAGGGTTTCTCTCGATGGACGGAGCCTCTTGGTCTCGCTGCCCTGCGATCCCCAGAGCTGGTCCGCCAGTTCGCTGAGATCGCACGAGAGGAGTACGTCGCTGTTGGTATCCGACAGGCACTACACCCTCAAGTCGATCTAGCTACTGAGCCACGCTGGGGACGTATTACCGGCACCATGGGAGAGGATGCCAACCTCACCAGTGCCTTGATGGTTGAGTACATCAAGGGTCTTCAGGGTGACAAGATCGGCCCCAACTCGGTTATCGCGACCACGAAGCATTTCCCCGGTGGTGGTCCAATGGAGGATGGAGAGGACTCTCACTTTCCCTGGGTAAGTAAGATCATACCTGATAATAGAACCATGTCTGACGTCGAGGTGTAGGGCAAGAACCAGACTTACCCTGGCAACAACAGAGACTACCACTTGATCCCCTTCAAGGCAGCCATCGCAGCTGGTACCCGTCAAATGATGCCCTACTACTCTCGTCCTATCAACACGTCATGGGAAGAAGTCGCCTTTGGGTTTAACAAGGGCGTCGTCAACGATCTCCTCAAGAAAGAGCTTGGCTTCGATGGTATTGTCGTCACCGACTGGGGTATCGTCACTACCCGATTCTGGGGTCTTGAAGACCAAACCGAGCTCGAGCGCGCCCGTCGCGTTCTCGAGGCTGGATGCGATATCTTTGGTGGCGAGACCAAGCCTGAACTTATCATTGAGCTCGTCAACAAGGGTCTCGTTTCAGAAGCCCGCATCAACGAGTCTGTTCGCAAGCTTATGAAGGAGAAGTTTGAGCTGGGTCTCTTCGATAATCCCTTCGTTGATGTCGACAAGGCTGAGCGCATTGCTGGAAACGATTACTTCAGCCGTCTTGGAAACGAGACACAGCGCCGCGCATTCACTCTTCTCACCAACAAGGACGATATCCTGCCTCTTCCTCTGTCCGCTCTCAACGCCAAGTTCTACATCGAGGGAATTGAGCCTGAAGTAATGGAATCCCGCAATCTCAGTGTTGTCGAGAACCCAGAGGACGCAGACTACGCCCTCCTCCGCCTGGCCTCACCCTTCAAGCCTACCACAGCACCTGGTCTTCCCGCCATGATCAACAACGGCAGTCTCGAGTTCAACACGACCGAAAAGGCTCGCCAGGCCAAGATCTACGCGACGCTCCCAACAGTCGTGGACATCAGACTCAACCGACCCGCCGCGGTACCTGAAGTCGCTGAGCAGGCTGTTGCGCTGTTCGGTAGCTACGGTAGCAGCCACGATGCATTCTTGGATGTTGTCTTTGGAACGGATGGTTGGGGTCCTGAGGGAAGATTGCCTTTTGATCTGCCCGTGTCTCAGGAGGCTGCTGATGCGCAGAAAGAGGATGTGCCGTTTGATGTGGAGGCCTTGTTTAAGTTTGGACATGGATTGAGGTATAAGGATACGTGTGATAATTTATAGTTGGGGGCCATGAGATGATGACATAGTTTTACTCTGATAAAGGGGCTGTAATTAAAATAAGCTGTTTGCGTATAACCACATGATGCATTGACGTCTGAGTAGTGACAGTCACAGTGATAGTAAAGGCTGGGTTTAGTGGCTGTGGTACACCAACCACAAACATCGTCTTATGAATCGAATGACAGATTTAACATCATACTTACCGTCAATTAATTGACATTCTGTTGGCCAAGCATGTCAACAACGCATCAGACTTGAGCCATGTTGGGCCGTAAACACAGAGTGAGACTGTCTTGGCTAATGAATGCAGGTTAAATGGCCCGGAAATACTGAAACCAATCAAGCGTGAATGGAAGTAGTTCAGAGCGTCTGAGCCTAGGTATGTTTCATAATCTCCGAAGTGACTGGCCAATGCTGACCTGCCAACTCAGACTGCAACTCAAGCAATTGAGGCCCTTTCTACTGCCAATATCTACAGACCACATCACATCACATATACTCGGCTAAACATTTGCGGTAAATTCGAGCATCTCCAGCGGAGATAAGAGCGGGCTTTATCCATCCGTTGTTGAGACCTGTCACATGCAGGGGAGGGGGAATTGCAAAGAACTTCTCCATCTCTCCCAACAAAAGGATACACTCGGCACTACCGGCCATCACGTGATGCCCTGTTTCTTCTAGATTCTGTTGACGCAAGCCCCCTGTAAATCGCAAGCAGAACGCAGGGATTGGATGCTTTCGCTGTAAGCCCTGCCGGAACAATAGTGAGCCCGTCCCCCGAATGCGGCGAACCCCGGTCGGCGGGAAGACGGAGCTAGCCTGCTCTGCGCTCATCCATTGATCCAATCCCATCACCACGAGCACTGCTATTCCATTATTGTACGGCTTGTCTGTACATCACCACACCCTTTCGCCATTAGCGGGCTCTTGGAGAATCTCGACTTTGCATCCACTCCGTCTCTTTTCTTCATTATCTCCGACTTCAACTTATCTCACTCTCTTCTGTTCTGCTGTACCATTTTGGTCCCTTGATATCGATACGTTGCGCCGAGATTACGAAATT